GAGGACGGGGAATGAGAAAAATAACCTTGAAAATAGCGCATTTTCCTCAAGTTCATTATCCCTACGACATGATCTGATAAACAATTCTTGACACCATGAGCGAATAATCAAGAAAAGCGAGATAAGAATTCGCATGAGAGAACGGAACTATATGCACCAGAAGAAACTAGGATAACAAAGAGAACGAGAAACAGGAGACGTTCCCGTTATCTGTGAAAAATGATTAGTTTTTAAAAACATTTTCCAGTAAAATAAATTGGGTTTCCATTTTTACCCTTTATTAATATCAAAACTGAGTGGGTTGAGTTCCATGAGAAATCCTTGCGTTTCAAATTTCTGAGGTCGTAAGTAATAATTTTCCACGTCTTATAAATCAATATGAGTGGGCATCGACCATTTTAACTACATGTTCGTTTAATTTAAGAGTACAAGTAGCACATAATTACGTATCCTTGTCAGGTTGGTTGGTTGGTGCCACATATTTAACCTCATTTCTTAAATTTGCGTACTTATGTGCTTCTGCTCCAAATACCGTTGGCATTACTTGGTCCTCTCCAATCACAACGAGAAAAAAGAGTTAAACGATTCTTCTTCCATGATGAGAAGGTTGAATGTATTATTATTTCTGGCAGATTTTCCCAAAATCTGAAAGAGAGATCAAAAGAATTTCGTTGTTTGTAATACAGAACTGATGAGAATGGGAAGAGAGTTGGAGAACGTTCTAGCGAGTCCTTCTTCCAATCTCGTACCAATTTCCCGTGGACAAAGCACATTTACAAAACACAATGCGGAATGTCTAACTGCATTTCAACAATGGAATGGGATCCCAATAAGAGATCCGTTGGGTTGCATGCAGGGTCAAAGTAGTCGACTTCAAAGTAGAATTTCCAATTGAAATAAAAACTCGTGGAAACGTCGTTTTTGTATTTAGAAATTGAATAGAAACTAATTCAATTCGAAAATGTTGTGGAGAAAATTTGATAATTTTGGAAAGAATGGCATTATCGATTTAGATTCATTACTTTAAAGAGCAGCTTATGCAGAATATATGCTCATTTCCAACCTAAAAGAACGGTAAGATAATTGGATACAGTGGGTACGTAGAGATGCATTATAAATGCTTACTCATACACATCCGCATCCCAACTTAAACCTTAATTCTTCCCATCGTATGGAAACTTGGAGAGAAAAGTTTGCCCAGTTAAGTACAATGGACTGGGAAGACCATTAGTTGACATTTCCTAGCCTAATTGGTAGCTAAGACAGAGGCGAAGTTTGCAGACGAATAATAATGCGGTACGTATGTACGTTTCATGTACGTTCACGGTCGCCTAATGAAATAATAAACTTTTTCCAACACTTATTCTCCGAGTTCGTACACGGCAAAGATCTCTCTCCGCGCATCCATCCGGTCCAGCAGAGTGGAAGAAGAGTAAAGAATTTAGTTCGTAGTAGTGTGGTCATTACGGTCCAAAGTCCGTGGTGAGACATGCAAGTCTGTCCATCAATCCATCCACCCAGGAAGGCATTTACTTACACGACTAGGAGCATGTCAAGGAGCTTTGCTTTCCCCGTGAAACCGCTCCTCTGAATATGACTATAGGATGTGGCATACCTGCTGGCAGTACGTAGTGGCACCTGTCAAAGTAAACACCACCAATACCACCAAAACTCCACCGAGGACTTTGTACTTCTCCGTCCCTCAGCCCCTGTTGAGTTTGGGCTGACATGACAAAACTCTTTCTTCTCCATCTTTCTCTATGATAATGCAGTGAGTGCTGTCGTATCATCTGTCCATCCCTTGTCTCATGAGTCGCGTTCACTTTAGTCGAACCTGCACAAAGACCAACAAACTCAAACCCACGTTAGTTATTCTCAGAATCCGAAAACTTGTGCAATTAAACTTCTTTCGAAGCTACTTTACAAGGAAAATGTATGGACGAGTGAGTAAATAAAAAAGAAGAGTAAGAATAAATCCTCATTCGTCGGCCTACACCGTCTTCATTGTCAATTTAAAACGGGAGAAAGCGCTACCAAACTGAGAAACCCACTTTCGAGACAGTAAATCCAATTTGGGCCGTAGTAATGACTGCACATAGCCGTTCTAGTTAGTCACCTCACTCCGTAATGCAATCTATACTTAGGACGTAATAATCACCTCCTCCGATACGACGCTACGTAGGCAGGTTGGTGTGTCATATATTTATTTAGCGCATAGATTACTCATGCCATAATCTAAATGCAATGACTATGCAGTGCTATTCTGAGTCGTCCTTCTGCGCCCAATGTTATCGGGGTTATTGCCCAAATCATTGAATTATAATTGAGCCGACAAAGAGAAAGTATGCAGCACATAGGTGATGATGACGATGTCTCCGTTTCATAATAGTAAGTAATGAGCCACGGGCAAAGTCCTGTCGCTCCGTCGTTCTCGAGAATATTGTGGGGGCCTCGTGTTTCATGTCGTGCCGGAGTCTACTATTTGCTCACTGCACACAACTTTCACTAACTGCGCCGTGAGTGGATCTTGACTCTGGTTTAAAGATCTGGAGAGCGAGAGAGAAACAGGTGCATCCGTGGGTAGAAAAGTATCTCCTCCTCGGCTCTGCATATGTACTTTGTATCGCGTAGATGCATAACTACATACACTAATTTAAATAAAACTGCGTTCTGCAGAACTTACTGGAATAAGTTGGAGAAACATTGTCGAATTTTCGACAGAAAATTTACCCAGCAGCTGAATAGTTGAGTCTAGGATGGACACAACTTGTAATTATTTTCGTTTTACGGTATCGTTAGTTAATACAACAAATACGCGATCTATTTTTGAACTGCTTGGTGTATTTATATTTACTAATTGTGCCTTCATTTCGCATGTAGCATCTTTTCTCTGTCTTGTCTTCAGCCTACTCACAGTGTATCAAATTTCCCGATGGGCTTCGTCTCTCCGTCTCTAACTTTGTCGTACATAAAGTTGTCATGTGTCATCCCTCAAGCGATAAGCGAATGCCTTTCTTGAAGGTCACTGGGGGGTTGTTGCTTGTTGGATTATTTGTCATGCCCGGCCGACACCAGACTCAACTCGGCCAACTTTCCAACAAATAAAAGTTACTTTTGATTGTTCTTACCAGTTCTGCAGAACCGTGGATGGACATCTACGTCAGCATAATAATAATCATACAGATGTGCATGCGGTGTCACGATGATGTTGGCAAACTTGTTATGTATGGATACAAGTTAGTGTCGTTCGTAACGGGTGGTTGCGGATGGTGGAGAGACGATAGGTCAGGATGGTCAGGGCGAAGGACGGCATCATCTTCATCTTTTTATTCATTGCTTTTCACCAAAAGTTTCACCCATCAGTTTTCTATAACTTATTGTGTGCTATTGTCTCGCTCGTTGGTTGGTTGGTTGTGGTTCGTGATGCTGAATTAATTTTGATCGCTTTCCTCTGTCAATGTCATGGCGGCCGACTTTTGGCTGGGTGGATGGATGAAGTGATATAATTATAAAACAGAACCATCTTGTCTCTATCGGCTGAAAATAGATGTACGGATAGATTTCAAGGTGAAAGCAATTTAATGAAATCGATACGGGTAAAATTGGAAGCCTCTCTTGTTGCCTTATGATTCGATTCGAGAGGATTTCGTTTAAGTTGCTCAAAGAAAACGTGTCAGACCAGCACAATAATAAGGGATGAAGAGGCTCATTTAATGAAACAAACAAAATGAAGACGCCACTGAGAATAGTATAAAAAGAAACAAATAACACGTTGCGGTATTAAAGAAGTGCAAGAGAATTGCTCATTTGGTGAGAAGAACAAGTTCATTATCAAGCTAGATACAATTTGTATCATACAAAGCACGGACGTGGATGGACTGAAACCACAGCTTTGTGGAGTCCACTAATTGGTCCCCCGTGAAGCTGATGAAATTGAAAATGGGAAACGTATCCAGGCATCTTGAACCTCAAACAAGGTTAAATAACAAAACAGGTGGAAAAATAATGGTGGGTTGAAGAAATTGATTTCTTTTCACAATACTTAATGAGAAAAGGGGTACAACAATCGCCACGAAGCCATGAACTTGCACTGCCAGGGTTATAAAAAAAGCTGTTGGTGGTGCAGTGCAGTGTCCTGTTATAAGAACGCATACGATGTGATACATAACTCGTGGAGTACAAAAAAAAGTCGGTAAACGGAGAAGTTGTTACCGTGAAACAATAACCTCTTTATGCAACTTGGACTGAATGCATAAGTACGAAGTACATCTGGCGGATTCCTATTTAACGGCTTTTTCCGAATAGTAAAGTTTCTGGAAAATTGGGAATTGCTCCATAAATCGAATTTATATATGTTGGTCAAGCATAAGGGTCACGTGGAGTGGGTTACATAAATGTAGCATCATTAATATTGAAACGGAGCCAGATTGATGTAGAAAAAGACATTGGGGAAAATATGACGAAAATAGAAATGTGTATCATTCCTTGCATTTGATGTCGGCCATGTCATGAAACTTTGTTGTTCGTCATCATTGAGTGTATTTATGATCCTGTTACTTTCTCTCTCGCTACGGATGTGCATTCCTTCACAACCAACTCTTGCCTGCAGTTGTCCGTCCTGCGGGGAAAACAGGGAAATCGACCTTTATAAAATATTCAGAAGGCTCATGCCCGAACTAAAGTGGGGATAAAATATTCACTAGTCGACTTTCGGACAATAGATGTTGCCTTCGCTTAAGCACATTTGGCGTACTTTATAATTTACGAGTGAACTCGTGTATTCAAGGAATTATAATGATACATGCAAGTATTTACCCAGCCAACGAACAACCAAACCGCGACAGGATACATATGTATGTGTGATACCCAAACAAATGTCTCATCATGAGAGCACTATAGCTAATAAACTTTCACTTTCCCGAGCATTACTGGAAATAATCCCGTGCATCTGGCCCAATTTTAGATGCGATTCTCAATTTTCCCCCTTGACTCTTTTTCAGATTCGTGCTGAGCCTGGTGACTGCCAACATCCTGATTTCCAGCATAATTGCTCCGCTGATGCTGTTCGAAGGGATTCTGAACACCTATCTGACCTTCCCATGTCTGACCGAGGTCATTTCGATGATCGGATCCTCCGTGATATTCGCCGCCATCTTCTCGACCTTCCTAATCGCGACGGACCGTTTTTACGCCGTCACAAGTCCACTCCACTACTCAATGACCATCACTCGAAGTCGTAGCCAGCTCATGATCGTGGCTGCCTGGTTGGCCGGGGCGTTACTCGCCCTCCCGTACGTTCTGATTTGCAGCCTCCCCAGAAACACCGAGCTCCACCAGAGTCTTCACGTCCTCTTTATCGTCCTCCAACTCGCCCTCGGCTACCTCTTTCCGTTCGTTGGACTTTGCTGGCTGTATCTCCGCATGTACAATGCAGCCCACCGAAATAGCGAGAGGACCCGGAAGCACAGCATCTCAGGGTAAGAAATCAGGGAGACAGTGCACTTTGGTTTATGCTAATATTTTGGCAATTGAACCTGATTCTGAACCCATTACTGTGTTGACACAGGGACCTGCTCACTGTTATGGACGGTTCTACCAGCGTCATTCCACCGCAAGGCATAGATTTCCTCACCCACTACATCAACCCCTTCACCAAGGGGATGGTGGGGAGTGCTGGAGCTCCACCTGGATCTGGGGGCACTAACACTACCTCCATCGGTCAAATTGTCCCTGCGGCTGTGAAGAAGCAGAGGCGACGATCAAGCAATGGCAGCTCATCCTCACTTCTGTTCAGAGAAGAAGGTCGCGCCATAAAAACAGGTTTGTGTTTTGTGCATAGCAAAATTAAATTTTGAGTTTAAAATGCATTTTCCATAAATTGAAATATTGACAAAATTTACAGCCATGCTTGTCCTCGCGTCATTCCTGGTCTGCTGGACGCCCCATTGCGCATTCATGCTAATCAGCGAGATTGACGTGGTACAGGGTCAATTAGGGGATTTGGTCTTTTTGTCTGGTGGACGAGGGGGTGGAAATGCATCCAACACTTCCTCAATGATGCTTAACCAACAACCTGCTGTCCTCCTCGGGGGGACAAACTGGCCCAAATTCTTTGGCGTTTTCGGCATCCTTCTCTCCTGCCTCTTGAACCCATTCATCTACGTGTTTCGGAATAAAATGGCATGCAAAGAGGTATCCAAGCTCCTCTGTCGATTCTTCCGAGAGAAGCGTCGTCGCAAGGAGGACACGGCCGCTTCAGAAAAGCGAGCTCACCAACTCCTCCACAACAATAGTCGAGATCGATCCGACTCCACCCCCTCCGCCGGAGGAAACGACCTGGTTGCTTCTCCCACGGCTGCAGACTTGGACTACACACCAAAATTCACTCCCTGCATTGGAAAAAGCCCGAAACGATCCTCCCTGAAATCACTGACGCCACAGAGCTCTCTCAATTCCACATTCACCATGGCCACTCACTCTCCCATTTGCTCCTCAAATTCCACCGCCATGACCATGATGACATTTAAACCTCCCTTTCTCCGCTCCATGACCGTTCCAGAACAGACCCAACCTCGCGTCAAGTTCCCACCGAATCTTATCCGCCAAAAATCCTGCGTCCACCGCCCCGTTTACGGTGCACCGACCGAACTAACCCCAGCACTCAGCAAGAAATTTGTTCGTCAAGACTCGATCTGTAGCATCCTCTCGAACGACTCAGTCCTCATGATTTGCGCCGAGGATAACTCTCTAAGCGCTTCTGCAGAGAGTGGACTCCTCAACAGCCGAGGAAAAGAAAGTCGAAACGGAATGACGATGGAAGGGATGCGATGCGGCAATGGATGCGTGACTGGTGGGAGTAGCAGCTTATCTGGGGGAAGCGGATGTACACCGCTCCCCCTCCAAAAACACTACCTCCGACAAGACTCCAATTTTAGTGATGCGTCCCACAAGACGAACGACAGCGGAGTGGTGGTCGCTTCTGCCAAGGTGTCCGCCACGAATTCGCCCTACCTCCCCCATCGCCAACATTCCTCCCCCAGCCAACTGACCACGAGTCATAATCACCTCACTCCCACGCACACCGCTGAGTGTGACCATCAGCCCAACAACAATCATCACCACCACCATCACCACAACCATCATCAGAACGGTGGCGTCCTCCAAACGACGATTTAAGAGAAAGTGGAAAAATAAGCAGGCAATGGGTATTAAAAAGTTAAAATATTTGCCAAATTATTGAGCCACCCAATCACTCATACTTATTGATATCTTGTCCGCTAGTTAACTAGGCGGCTAGTCAATTAGTTAAATGTTTAGTATTTTTATCATAGTGTATTACCTACAAATATAAATCACACACCTAAATAGACATTTGTATACCTGACATCTATATACTTTGTACCTAAATATCCGTGCTAAAACATACTCTCGTACTGATTATTAAACGCGTGATCTCGATTTGTGATCTCCAGTTAACCAACCAATTTCGGCGAAATGATGATAAAATCTGTGAACTAGTTATTACTTACATATTTACATCAAAAAGTATGTACATAAGATACAAATTTATTATAAAGCTATTTATTACTAAATATTTAAGGCGGTCACCCAACAGAATGCCAATCAACCAGAAAAAAATAATAAGGAGAGCTGAGACCTGACATGTAACTACCACCAATTTATTGATACCTAAATGGATTTAAACTTTAACACAAATTCTTTTATCCGTTGAAGAAGTTGTACTTCAACACAAATATTTATAAGAGGTAGATAGCATAATGTGCATGTAATGGTAAGGTATAAATATATAGTAGGATTGAAACAGACTATGTATTTCGGATGAATCTGACTGTACTGATAAAATTAAAGTTTCAAAAAATATATAAAAATTTAACATAACAAAGTAGGATAAAAGTTAAACCAATCCAAACACATCAATTTATGCAGCCTTCGTTCCATTGCGAAAGGTAACTTTAGGTCACCCTCGATGAAATATTCAGATTTTCTTCCTGCAAATCCAGATTCCAGGTTAAATTGATTTACTTTTAAGGCAGTTTTGAATTAATTAAACGTCTAGTTGTAGCAATAATGCATATTCTGTAGCTAAATAATTATATAATAAAATTAGTACGTGTATATCAGTTCTTCTCACCTTGTCGAACAGATGAACGTGGTCCTCTCAATCCACTCGACTTCGACGTTAACGTTTAGGATCTTAACCCCCTCACACTTGTCCTTTTATCCCCCGTGCTTGAGGTGACATGACGCGCTGCGGAACCACTTTCCAAGTATTCGGGCCTCGTACTCTTACGGCTCTGTAGATGCAAAAACACAATTACCTACTTATTATTAGTATGATCGTTACTCATTCAATTGCTGTACCCATATATGTAAATCAATCTTAATTGTGTCTAATATTTAATAAATAAAAAATGATTAAAAATGCAATGCCCACTTTTTATCACTGGCATGTTGTACTTTCTTCACATTCAGCAAGTCCAGGCTGATTTCTCAGGTCATCGTTAAGCATATTCCGAATCTATGATTTCGTTCGCTCGAGCAATGCGTTCCTTGTGAATGAAAGCATCAAATTGCAAATCTGTAGTGTTTTTTGTCATCGGAAACGTATGCAAGTGAGACACAATTTGTAGTTTTAAAAACGGTTTTGCTCTTTGTTTATTTTTGTAGTGGTTTTACATTCAGGAACAACTACATGAGAACAACTATTATATAGGTGATAAACTAATACTTGTTGGTACTATAATTTCGCTATTTATTTATTTATTTTATTATTACTAACGACTTGTTCAGATCACGCTGCATTGTACTGTCATAGTGGATTTATATGTGGGTGGGAGGAACAGTATGTAGATATATATTATATATCTGCATAATATATAGATAGGAATAGTAATTATGAGTGATGTACCCCTGGTTTTTGCACGCAGTAACAATGACATGGCTATAGTTTAGTATTTATGACTGACACGGAATGCGGAAGATACTGACGACGGAGGTTGTTTATCATTATTGGCGGAGACGTATTATTAACACAGTAGTTTGTAGTATTTATTATTATATATATGGTAGAGCAGTGGTGGTGGTGGTGGTGGGGTAGGATATTATAGAGATTTATTATGGTTCAGCAGGAAGAGGAGTGGTTGTAGGGGCAGTTAATGAAAGATTATGAGAATGCGTTCAATTTGGAAATGTTGATAGACTCGCTTTTGGACGACGGGGAGAAGCTCCACGCCCGGTGGTGGGAGTCATCAGAGTTAAGGAGGACTCGGATGGGGTACCCATGACGGGGTAAGAGGTCGTTCTTTTGGCAGATCTTGAGGAACGAGAATACATAATATATGTAGGTTTTATCATCAGTAGCTACAAATAATTTCTAATTACTAGAATTTTTAGTACCTTCGACGTCTTGCAAGCGGTTGACCTGGTAAACCGAAATATCCTCGGGGTATGACCATTCGAGCGTTTCCGTGGGCAGGTCTTGATCCACCATGGGCTTGCAATGCATTAAGATGAGCAGAGTAGCCATCGCTCAGTACGGTAGCCATAGAATGTTGCTTCTTGGACGCTTTACCAACAATGAATATTCTGTCGGAAGAAACTGAAGCGCACGCGTATACGCCAATATCCTTACTACTTCCGTATGCCGCGTGTATTACCAATTTCTGATCCTGCAGATTAACCCGACAACAAATTAATTACTCGACTAATTGCTCTGAATGAGTTATTCGTTCATTTAACTTACCTGAACTAAACTTCGCAAATAATCAGCCTTATGACCCAAAAAGTCTGTAGATAACCCATCCGCAAAAGAAACTAAACCATGAGGAAAGTTATGCTGTGCCAACCAAGAGACGACTTTATGCTGTTGCATATCTGGACGACCAGTTACGTAGATGATTAAATATCCCAGCTCTTGCCAATGTCTAATTTGGAATTGGAATAGAATTGTATTATTATTCAGAAAGTTAATACATATGACACTTTATTTAACAGATTACAAGTTACCGAACGACATCAACGGCACCAGCCCTAACTCGAGGATCCCTTCCTGTCACTGACACACTGGCTGTAAATGAACCATCAATGCTGAACACAACGCACTCAGTCTTTGGTGGAACAACCGCACAGTAGAAATCCACACAGGTGTGGTCACCTCTGAAAATGACCAATAAATCATTCAATGTCATTGCATATGCTGCACACTAACGAGTCTAGTCAAATACAATTTAAAATATTTTGTCGATTCTCACCGAACAACCATTTTCACTGGATAAATCCCATACCCAAAAGCTTTATCACTAGGAATTGAATAATAAATCCGGCCGTTTTTGTCAGTTACTTCTGTAGCAAGTTGGCTCCATTCGCCCATCGGAGGGTCCTTCATGATATAAATGTCCACTTTTTCACCCGTCAGTGTCACCATGTCCAATGGGCCGTACATGAACCGAGCTCTAAGCGCCTGAGGATGTCCTTCTCCAACAATCACGTCATTGGCACGGTGATTGGCAGCAACATTCTTAATCACACAACGCCAATTTATATTATTTACTGATAGCCACAAATAAAAAAAATCAAGGTTGACCTACTTTTAATTTCACGGACGTTCTCTTCTTCACCCACTTTTCCCGTGGTTGATTTGGAGTAAATACCCTGACTTCCTTTTCATCTTGGGATAAAAGTGAACTTGATTCTTGGAATCCAATCTAAATATTGACAATTAATTTTTATAATTTATTTATTAATGTGCCTGAAAGTGGGACATTGCAAATTTTGTTTTTATCACAAACCTGGCGTAAAATGAAAGCAATTGCATCCGTTGATTCCCAGTAACTGGCATGGAACAAATGGGGGAGGGAGTGTAGAGGAAATGATGCCAATGCTTCCGGGCAATACAGAGCGTAATCAATCCTTTTATTGCCCCACCACTTTTGAGTCACTGAAGAAAGAAATTTATTTACGTATTATGTATGCATATTTTTATAGATTTTGTTATTAATAAATCTTCAAACTTGAAGCACATTCTAGACAGCACTCACATTGGTTTATCGCTTGGAGGGACAGGGCATCAGTTAAGCCAGACATTCCACTTTGAATACTTATATCCGATAAGCGTCGACCACAACTTGACGCTAAAGCTCCAAAGCTGACACCAGACTCAGCAAAGAGATGCGGATTACTCTGTATGCTCTCCACTGCAAATAAAGACCAAAGTTCACAACTGATGCATAGTACACAATTTGTGTATCAGAATAGAGACGAAAGAATGTTGTCGAAATTACTCACATAAATGGAAAGGTAGCCCATCACCCAATGGATACTTCGTGTAGCGTGCCACATTGACTGGTGGGACACCTGCAAATCTTGCTGAAATTAGAGGCTCCAGTCTTGCAGCCAAGGGGTCCGTTGGGTGAAAAAGGTTGTACACTTGCTGACAAGGGCGCGTCCACGGCACTAGTAAATATAAATGAATCGATATAAATTGGTGTCTATATTATCAATTGTCCAAAATATGCATAGTCATGAATTAATTACTGTGTCGATCTTCGCACTGAATCCGACGATGTGCCAGGACCAGGCCGAGGGGACTTCCAAACATGAAAAAGTCGCTCACTTCAAAGTCTAATTTTGTATTGGAAGAGTCGCTCGCAGATGAAGACGATCTACGTCGCGTTTCTCCGGAGGGACATTGCAGCAGGTGATCTGTGGATAAAGCTACATCATGTTGTTTTTTTAAAACAAACCAACAAGCTACCCACCTCCAATACTTTCCAGGAAAGCATTAAAATTATCAAGCTATATATTTAAATACCTGGACTTGGAGGGACTTCATCCTCATTCAAAAACTGTCCTGCGCAACAATGCTTGACTAAAGCATCATAACCCAGAATAGAACCCATCGAATCTCCAATAAAAACTATTTGACCACTGAATCCTTGCCCTTCTTCACACTTGAGGAAGTCAGTGTAAACTTGATTGGCAGCAACTACAGTTTTTGACACAGCATCCAAATACTCTAATTGGCACGTTGATACGAGAGGAATAGCCCCAATTGGCACGGACTCGTGAGTCATTTGTGGACTGTCTCCAGTTCCATATACATCAAAACTGTATGGGCTTAGACTGTAATGAACAAACAAATTGATTTATGGCAATCTATAATTTACTGAAAATATCGTCGCGTTAGGGAATGGAGACCATTGTTATTACACTTTGATTACCTAGAGAGAATAGCCAGTGCATCAGTACAAACAGATGGACATGGCACAAGCTTGACCACAACGTGACCCATCATGGCTACAAAAATTAAAGATAATTAGCTACCTATATTAAACAACTTGTTTATTGTGGCCGCTTACATGGATAATGTTGTCGTATTACAGATTCGAAAGCACCCTTGAACGTTGTCACGTCGGACTTTTTGGCAGGGAGATCCACAGTTGCGTCTAGCGCACTCCCAGCATGTAGCACCATGCATAGCACCGTTGTACTACAGGAAGAAGCAAGTACGGCGTTTCCACCGTATATTGTTGGAGACCCGGGTAAAGAAGCTTCCATACTTCCTCGGCTCACTAGCACCTTATGTTTTTCACGCCCTGTCGTGACCCGCTGAAGAAATGGTTGGCTGAATATACTATCGTCTAAACAAAAGTAAACCCGTATAAATAATTTAGCTGAGCCCTACTAATATTTTTAAATTTTAATCACACCTTTTTTGTAATCAGATTTGGCTTCACCCTGTGGGATAAGGTCCAGAGAGCTCCATTTGGTTAAGGAAACAGAATCGTCTCCATCTAAGACAGAACAATTCAAATAAAATATGCGATAAAATATAATTGCTTATATTAATGGCGCAATTACGGGTTAATTTATTACCTAAGCAGTCAAAAAATTCATCATCGCTTCCTTCTGAATCTGATTCGTTCTTCATTAAGCCTTCCACTCTCCAAGTCCGACTCGCTTCAACTTTCTTTGCAGCTCTTGGTGAACTATGATGTCCTTTTCCACTACAGGAAATGGATTTGGAAGTTGACGGAGTGCTCACTATGTTGTCACCAAGGTCGCTAATTTTCACAGTAATTTTAGGGGATTTAGGGCGACTTGTTTCGTAATATTCACCAGCACCACCACCGCCCTTATCGCCAGCCCAACTACGGGAGGAATTATCCGACTTTTTGTCATCACAACTGCTATCACTACTTGGTTTAGTACAAATAAATGGAGATTCTTTCACAGATTCTCTAGAATCTTCATGATCATAGTCTTCCCCATCGTCTTCTTCTCCAGCATCGCGACGAGAGTTGGCCATTTTCTTCCTAAGAGCCTCTTGAGTTTGCCTCTCCAACTCACGAATATCACTCATTGTCATACCGTACCACTCGTCCTGCCAAGCCCAAGCTTGCCTGTGAGCTCGAAGCATTATTCTTCTCAATCCTTTGGAATGGATAGAGAAACATGCAGTTAATTATGACTCCAGAACAGAGAAACAAATTATGCAAATCTGCCATAACGAAGTACTTACCATAGTCGTGAATAAATTTTTCGATTTTGCTCTGCATTCCCCAATAATGAAACTCGACCCGGCACAGTTTATACGCACACATTATTGCTTTACCGGAGGACAATGGCATATTTTTCCCCTGTAATATAATAATATAGCTCAATAACACAAGATTAGTTGATTACACGGTTATAACACGGTTACCATACCTGACATTCTTGCCAATAATCATCAATCCAATTGTCATCTAGAGGACCTCGTGACGTTTTCTGAGAACGATAAAATTTTGGATCTTCCTCTTTCACATAGTCCGTGCCATGTAACTGATCCTTCACAACATCAATGAGATCTGAAATAAAACATAAAAAAACATTTAGCTTTACTAAAACCATAGTATACAGTATTGTTTAAATTTCTATGCAGGTATAGACTCACCCACAATCGGATTCCTCACGTCAGATTCACTCACTCCGAACACATTGTCTTGATGGCCAGCATCAGCGCAGTAGTAGGTTTCTATTTCTAAAGAGAATCGTTGGACAAAGGGGCAGGTATATCGAGTTTTCGTGTACGGATAAGCATTCCATGCTTCCTCTTCCACGGTTAAGGCTGATTTAGGAAGAAGACTTTTGAACCAACCAGGGAGGTGACTGCCAACATGATACATTTTTCGGGTATACTGCCCCGTTCCTGCAGGGCCCGGACCATCCTCGTAGGGCTCATTCAAAAGAATTTCAACCCCATTTCCAACACCTTTCGACTCATCCCGACTCTTTTTCTGCAAAATTTAATATATTTTCTCCGTTACAGTCTCAACCTTTATTTGCAAAAAAAACCATGGCAGATAGGAACTTACCGCTATCATGTACAACTGCGCGATACGATACTCCTCCACAGTCAAGGGAAGAGGAATCCTGTACTCCTTGATCAGCATCCTGTCACTGACTACGTACGAGCACGGTATACTTTGCACCTCAAATCACGACAAGATCATAGTAGCAGCCGTTCACATTCCTCATATGAATGCACGGACCACTGGCTACAATTAACTTATTGCAACATTTTAGCAACAGGCTGCTGCTGCTTAGGCCAAATTAATGTAAGAATTATATGCATTTGCTTATTGAAAAACGAGGGGCGAGAGATCTCAGAAATTATTAACTCGTCTTGAGAATTAAGCACCTGCAGAGATACAGATCGATGAACACTTGAAACTTCTTTCCCCCTGTAAACAACAAAGTCATAACAATTTATTTCGACAGTTATGACCAAACTATAAAATTAAAGTTTAATAACTTTATTCGCTACCAGAGCTAATAATCAATTATGTAACTTAACAAACAATAGATTATTTATCAACTTGCCATTGATATTACGCGTCCCTTGTGGTGAACATATCTTTGTAAGATTTTGACCAACAACGCATCTAATAATAATAAGCTCTCCACATAAACTAAATAGGTAAGCTCGCTAAGTAACTGCACGTGGGGTCAATAATAACAACGCCACCACCTGCTACACAAAGTCTGTCTTTTTTTAAGCTGAATTGTTAATTTAAACCGACAACAGAACGGAAGAATAATAGTAAGCCCGTCCCAAACACATACAAGTATTACATCAGCTAACTAATTATTACTGGAAGCCCTTATATATTCGTAAAGTTGGGTAGGGTTACCCAACGTATGAATGTTCACAATAACACGCTTACATGTACACTACTCCCCTGCCCTTGCGAAACTAACTGTCTCATCTCCCATATCACGTACTACTAGCACTTTCTCCAATGACCAAAGCTGTGTGAACATGTACCAAACCGAGATATTTCACACCACCACAAGATGCGCTGCAACGAGTTGCAAATATACTAAAAACAAGCCAGGCAGGAAGGAAAAACAGGGAAAAGATATAAATTATATGAGAGAGGACGAATTCTACCCGACTTTTCTCAATCCGATTCGTTCTACTTCGGAGCCTATCCGTAAAAGTTCATTCAGCATCATCTCTCTGGCTCTCTCTCGTTGTGTCTCCACTATTCATACGGGAAGCCAGCAAGGAGAACAGTCTTTCCAATCACAATAGACGACGCTCATCATAAAATAATATCCGTCCCGTTATTATATTTATGATCTTTGTCCTCGCCTAATGCACAATGACCAATAATAAACGACTCATCCACTCCAGCGTTTATCATAATCATCATCATGTTAGCTGCGTATGCTCTCTCGAAGAGAAAGGACAGCTTGGCACCTTTACTAGCAACTGTACACATATATTATATATATACCAGGCAGAGGCTTCATTCATTTATACTGCCTCGGGATGAAGAGAAAGTGAAGAGAGAGTAGAGCAAGCAAGCAACGCAGTACTTTCTCCTTCTGGGTTTTTTCATCCTCCTCCAACTACTCGTTGTACTTGTATCCTCCTCACCGACAATAATGCCACTCTTGGTATAGTTTCTTATCGGCATGTCAAATCACATCAGTGATCTTGATAGATGTCGACTTGTTCAACTTCTTATCGAGAATTGATTCTACAGAAAGGAAGCAGTTTTTGCTGATTGCATCTTTCAATGAGCCAAGTGTGATTGTAAATAGGAAGGAATGAATGAATGAAAGGTCGTTGTTTTTTCTCCAGACATGTGAGAATCTCGTAAAAATGAATAAATAATGGACATGCGAGCTAAATCTAATTTGGGGTGTCACGTTCCGAAATAAGTCGACACTTTGACCTTTACATCCCTACAAGATTGTGAGTAACAACAAATTGCATTATGATTGCATTATAAAGGCCGAAAATCAGAATTGGCTGTGCAATTAAATTACACCCGCTAAAAGGAAATTATACAGTCTAAAGTTCGTTAACGTCAGCGTCACAATGTGTAAGCAATTCTCCCAAAGTTAAGACTGCTATCTGAAAATACGAATTTGGTATGAAATAGTGTTTCCATGATATGTAATGACCTACATAATTATACACATATTATCCCACTAACCCACCATTACAGAGAATAGTAACCTTCCTTGCTAATAACAATTTCCAAATCTAAACATGAAACGCCACAAGTTACTACGTATTGGACGACATGATGGCATTGATTAACACATATACATATCTCATCGCTATGCTATCTCCATCGATCTACTCAACCTACTGAACTGAGCAGAAGAATAGCCCTACAACTACAGGTGTTTAAATGAGACCAAGTTTGTCTTACCTTGTAAAAATATTCGGCTTGTTTTCTCTGATGATTCCACCCCCAGTGAGGAAAGCTGGAGCCAGCCAGGACACGGAGGAGCTAATTCGTCTCTGTTGTTGCAGGAAGGGGCTGTCGAGGAGGAATAAGACGACGACGACGACGACGACTGAAGGCTCTACAACAACGGCCAGAGCAATGCGGATCGCATGTTAGGTTGGTAGGACGTCATTGAATGGAGTGGAGTGGAGAGTCGCCCATGAACTCTAACATTTCGCAGATGAGCCCGGATCTTCTCTCCTCCGCCACAGACACACCGACAAAACCGAACCAAAGGTAAAATCCCTCAGTCCTCGTCCAGCACTAGGCGGCCTTCGTTGGTATACCCTCTGTCCTCTTGATCTAGTCTTAGTGAGTGGTACTTACTTACTCATATTTTCCCCTTTGATACAATATTTTGTTTTCCATTTGCTCCCTTTCTTCCCTTGTTTACATTCTGCTTCACAGATCAGAGAGAAACATCAAACAACGCCTTCGCCACCGCCACCGCCGCGCCGAGACCAAGCCTCACTTGTTGCTGACTGAGTACAATATAATGAGACGACCCAGCGCTTTGCTTATCTTTCGCGATGATGAGATTCTCTTCAATCGTGTAATGTTGATGTTGACGATGTTTTGTTTTGTTGTTGTGAGGCAGCTGATGTGAGATGATGATGACTTTTCGTTCCCGGCAAGAAAATGCTTTCTCTCTTCTCCTTCTTCTTCTGCCCACACACAATCAGCTGCTCGGTCCGCTGCACGACAATAAAAGTCCCGAATTAACTTTCTCCTTCCTCCGGCCTTCCCCTACTTGGTTCTTTTGTTTTATTTCATGACCACGGAAATTCGTTGTCTGGGAGGAGGAGGACGTTCGTGGAGTGAGTGTAACCTAACCATATTGATGTGACGAAGCTCAAATTCGTGGTAACTACACGAAGCAACATGTGCGAAGTACAAGTGTGGCTACCACCAGGAACAGTGGAACAATAAGTAATTGTTTTTTTTACCCTGTAGAAATAAATGTGGTAGTGGTGGTGGTGGTGGTAGTGTTGGTGGTGGTAAAATAAGCCGATCTCATCATGCTTTTTCCTCTTTTCCCTGTATTTTACAGGTTATTATAGGCAAGGCGACGAATCGGCGACGGTTTTTGCTCAACTCGTTGTCTGGCTTGGTCTGATCTCATCTTACTCTCGTTGGCCAGTTGGGACAAGGATGTCGCAGTGAGAGGAACATTATACAGAGAGATGAGTCAGGTAGGTAAATAATCCTGATGTGATTCCTTCTTTTTTATTCATGAAGAGTCAAGACACGATCCGACTAATTGCTGATGATACCTGACTGACTGACATACCTCTCTATTTGTAGTAGTCAATTATAAGATTGGGTACATAAGTCTGACTCTTGTTTTACCACCTCATGCATTACGCACATAAATATTACGCTGATAGTACTAAAAGGTTTTGGGAGCAATAATTTGATAAGATGAGATGGAAGCAGCATTGGCGTGTTTCGTCCTAATTTTTTATACCTTGGTTTATTGCACGGCATAAAACGTAATATCTGCCAATTTGCCTGGAGATGATTGCAGGAAGTAATTATAAAAACTGGGTGCTTTCATTTCATTGCATGGGTGGAAGATTCCAATTTGTGCACATGAAGAATAACAAGGATATTTCATCGACTAGATTAAACTGGCTCTGCGTAATAATTATAACACGATGTGGCATCAACCCAGAGACGATATAGACTGCCAGGTGTGCACTTTTGTTTTCAAAACTAACAAAGAAATCGGCTAGGTTGATCTACATGATGGATCACATGGCGTCGTCGTAGATGATCAACGACATTTCGCGTATCAGTTTCTTTCCCTTTTAGCAAGCCCGTCGTCGTCGTCGTTGTCAAAAGATGAGATATGGTAGATGACATGACATCCATTCCACATACTGTCACGCTGCTGGTTATATGAAAAGAAATGTTATTTTGGCAAAGTGCGCATACTGCAGTCGAACGAAATGTTTACGACATTTCCCATTATTGTTGTTATTATTATGTTTCGCCAAACTACAGAAGAGAGCGAAATATGATGAACCCAGAATAAACCTGGCTGAGCAGATAGGATAGAGGAGAAAATGGTCATGAAAACTGAGAGATGAGACGTAGTAATAAGTAATTGTTGTCTAAAGTTGAGCCCTCCAGACATGTTGAGCTCATCATCTTTCTTTCACAGAATTGGAGCACAGAGTTCACTACCAAGAACCCAGGATAAGACGAAGATTGTTGTTTGTTGTGCATTAATGAGAAGTTTCAATCCCTTGCTCGCTATCTCTCTGAAAACCTGACGTCCAATAAAAGGTCGCTTTCCTCCAAGTTGTTTTAAATTTAAACTTTATCGCATATCATCTCATGTTTACTTTGGATCTTGCTTGAAATTAACTATACGGCCAAAGTTGTTGTTGGAGGGGGCACAGAAACGAGAAGGTGATCACTTGACGAGGAGAAAATTTTAGTTAGTCACCAGTTTTCGGATTGACAGATATTTATGAAACTCGACAAAAGTTTGTTCACTGGGTTGATGGTGGCAGTAGATTTATTTCGGGTTTATACTTACAATATTATATCACTCGTCATCTCATCTCGGCTAAATCTGCATCATTATGATGAGGATGAAATGAAATTCCAAAGTTTCCGGCAGTACATTTCGGAGCGGATATGTAGGTAGGTTGGAATGTCAACATTTTCATGCTAGAAAAAGCAGACTCATCTCTACGTATCTCAGTGAATCTACATACAACAGATCTCGAATTTTTAGATTTACGTGACATTAACCAAACGAATGCCAATTTTAGACATGCAAAAGATCGTATTGTTTGTGTTCTAGAAATTTGAGCCGTCTAGCTCAGCCTTGGTTTCTTTTTTGGAACTTTTTTAATTTTGCTAGTTTTATATCATAGATTTCCACTTCATTTTATCCTTCAACTCCAAACTAGTAATCGCCAAGTGGCCCTTCACGCGCGAGAGAGGGTTTCCTCTTGCAAATCTGGGCGTCATCCACTCGTGATTCTGTGTATAATCCCCGTAAATATCCAGCATCGATTGTCACGAGGTCCGTACTCGGGGAATATTATCACGTACCTTTATAATACATTATCATTTGTACCAAGAAATCTTTCTCCTGTGTGACGCCACGAGCGACGGTACGTAATAGCATAAGTAGACTAGAAAGGAAAATCAGTTTTTTTCACTCTGTATTATCTCCAAAATTTGTTTGTGCACTCACCCAGGGATGTTGACGTTCAAACAGATTACACGTTCCGAACGCAGGAATATGAATATAATGGGACTGGTTGGTTCAGGTGAGCTCGTCGTCGAAAGAAGGGGGCGTTGAAATAAGTCGTCGAATTGATCCTGTTTTCAAATAACATCTGATTATATTACACTTCATACTGGCACTTTCTATGTGAAAAGTCATCCTTTATCCCCATCTCCGAACTAAAGACATCACATCACACCAGAGCTCTTGGCTAAATTACGACTTTTAGCACGGCTATATCTCACCGTACACTCATCTCTCCTTTTCTGCAAATCTATCCCAACTTTTAGAGTGAGAAAGCACGTACTTCTGCTCCAAAAGTGAGTTGGTGGCATCAGACTGGATGGACGAGTCTGGAATTGAAAGTGCCGTTGGGTGCTCTCAGTGCTCATGAATGCTTTCTTCCTCCTGCTCATCTTACCCGGATGAACTTGATCCCTGAGATGGACAAACGTCCTTTTTTCGTCCAAATAGAAAGAATGGTGAAGGACGAGAGACGGATTTCGCATGGATTGGATTGGACTTTCAACATTAATTCATTGAATCACAAAGATGTAGTTTGTCTCTCTCTTTCTGAATTTCTCGTCTCGTCCATGAGTGATCCATCCCCAAGAGTCAACCTTGTTTTAGATTTCTCAAAGTCCCAATCCAACTTCCATGACGGTAGAAAAGCTGCGAAATAAATGAGATATGGTCTGAAAGGCAATAAGTTTTGTTTTTGATTATCATTTATTTATCAAAGATTGCGAGAGTTGTGAACATTGTTAGTTAATGGTCGACTTTGCCATCATTTCATAATGTATCAAGTTTTCTTCGTCTTCTTCTTTTGATGATCATTATTTTTGTCACCCTTGCCAAAAATGTACCAGTAATGACCAGGCAAAGTGGAATGAGTTTGCAACTTTCGCTTCGTCATCTCAGGTTTTGGAAAGCTTGTGTGATCGGCAGAAAATCCAGCTCCTATTCAGAGCCAAAGTCATCTATAATGTGTGTTTTGCCCGTTTATTGCGTAGTTTAAAAGGGAGGACAAGAATTCATTAGGGTTTTATCCACCCTTTCTAAGTCAAACCGTGCAGGAATGTAGAGTGCACTTTGGGCAAGTACGGAGAGTTTAAGCTTTGGAAATACGAACGAATAAATGGCAACGTGTAATCCTTTTCTTGCTGAGAAAGTATTTTTTCTAGACTTTTAGAGAGCACAATAAAAAGTATTGTTGCTTTTCCTGGTCCTGGGCATTGTGTGGTTTTGGGTTGTGCAGAGCAGTTTAGGCATCTATTCTGGTAGTTCTGCACTCGTGATGGCGCAGATTTCTGGGTGACAATGAACAATTTATCTTCCCAAACAGACGTTTTACATTTGAAGAGACCTCTTGAACTTTGAGAATTGGAATCTATTCGAGTCTTCTGCTCCTGCTGCTGTTGCTTCTCTTCCTAGGACTCAAAATAGCTGTGGGAGGGAGAACAAAGTAAAGAAGTCTTAATTTGCATGCGATTTGTATAATAATTTATCAAACTGAAGTATGCCTATTGCCTACGGTAGTCCAAGTCCAAGATACACAAAGAATGGGAGAACACGGGAAACTGGAGAAGTAGTTTACTTACTTTAGAAATAAGTCGCAAAAGGTTTATCTCTCAAAAGTCACATTTGAGCAGGGCTGCGAAAATCTGCTCAGAGAGAGATTGCATCCTTTTCCTCCCTACTGCTGGACTTTTAATCAGGCGACAACATCTCTGTCTACCTATTACTCAGCCATAGTAGAGATACTTATGTTAGCAGCGACCGAGCAATATTTTTCGGTCCACCTTGGTTTTGTCTCAGACTAGCCAGAAGTGTTCCTAAACCGCATGCGGGGTTGGTTTAGAATTAGTTTCTTGTACAGCTTCCAGGACACAAGTGGTACGTACTTCTAAAGAATCCTTACAAAAATGCTCCTTTCTTGGGAGAGCTTCCTCTAAATATTGCCTCATTCATGCCCCACCAACCACATCTTCTCCAATTGCATGCACAGTATGCCGTTTGTCTCGCGACTTGCTTTCCTTGCAACGTCGTCGTCCTCGACTCGATGGATGGATGGGATAAAAACACCACCGATGTTGTTTACTTCTCCCCTGTGAAAGTCATCAACCAGCAGCAGCAGCATCTACCAACTTTCTCTTTTATGCCATCTATTTCTCTCCTCCGTTCCTGCTTTATGTACTCCAAAATACAATTTCCGTGGTTGACTGCATGCCACCCAGTTTTATTTTGGTGAGGGTTTCTTCTTTGGTTGGCCTAGCCCAACTTCAACTTCCTTCTGCTCTTCAAACTTAGGTACGAGTAGTAGGAGGCAAACTTTTCCACTAGTTTGGTTGGTGCATGGTCACTTTCATTGCATCAGCTGGAGGGAAATTAAAAACTAATGAGTCGCGCCAGCATGCATGCCAAGAGACATGACAAGAAAATTGATCCGAACCTCCTGCTATCGATCCGTGGTTGCATTTCCATTCAGTTAAGGAAAATGTAGACACTCGCCTCAATTGCTGCCACATTTCTTTTATTGTTTTCATAATACACGGAGCTTTCCTCATCGATCGTCCGTTATGGAGTGGAAATTCATGTGAAGTTCAATGAGACGGATGGATGGACGGAGAGATGGCAAGAAAGTGGTGCATGCAGATTTGGAAGAACAAGTTTGTCCGAGTGAAGTAATCCTTTTACAGGGAAAGAAGAAGACGAAGAAGGGAAATGGCATTTTCATAATCCCCAGCTCAATGATTTCTTTGTGAATTGGAAGCTTTTATTGGAAAGGAAAGCTCTTGATTGATATTTATTGTGAGTGATGCTGACAGATACAACAGCGGCTCGTTTGACTACGACTTTTTCGGAGGCGGTGGCGGTCACTCCTCCTCCTCCACCACTTCACTTTACTAGATACTTTCTCTCTCTCTTTTCTTGCAAGTCACACATACACGAGGGATTAGACTAGAGAGAATTAAGATACTTATCGTCCTATCGTGGCGGTTCTGTGGAGTGTCCGCTAATGCAATAAAATGCAGCAAAAAAAAAACAATGAGACGTGATACGATACGCCTTTTCTCGGGTGAAAGCAACATGCACAATTATACATGTAATGTATGTATGCATGTAGTGAGACAACAGTGTTGGAGCATGACTTTGTACAATTAATGGTAAAAGGTCATCTTTTATGAGGCATGGCCCATTATCTCGGTCCAGCTTTCTTCTCTCGCCTCCTACTTTGCATGTTATCGAGCATTTTGTAAGCGCAAGTGGCGCAGTTAATAGTTGCCAACCAGTTTGGATTGTGGAGTCGTGAGAGAGAGAGAGGTGAAAGTTGTGTAAGAGGAAACTGCACACATATATCATCTTGTTCATACATATAATATGGACTCCATCGCAGTAATTATTTTGTAAGCTGTCCATCCCTACTACTTCACCCTCTGGTTACGACACGGACTGAGTTTCCGTCCACAACGTAGAAAAATCCAGCTGCTGGACGTGGAAGCATCAACCACAATTAATTTTCAGAGGGACACAATTTTAGGGAACTTGTTGTGGTCGTTGTATGTGGGACTGTCGGACGAAAGCAAAGTAAAGTGTAACTTGTCGCACCTACTGCTACACGGAATAAATAAATGAGAAGATTCTTCACTCTGGCGTAAAATAATAATTTTGACAATTCGTGCAAGGAGAAGGAGTGAGAGGATTCATGGCCTGACATTCTGTTGATGCCTCCCAAACAAAGTCTTCTCTCAGAGAAAGTTGTAGCGTCATTTTTCCTACGAACTGTTAATCTCTCTCTTTGCACAGAACAGTTTGCTTACTTTTCCCTTTCTGTGGAAGTGTATGCATAGTGACATCCCGCCGCGATGGCGACGACGACAACCCCTGAACCATTCCGTTCTCCTAAAAGTGTGTATGTCCACTCTTCCATGGGTCTGATTAATAACAATTTGCTATATCATTACAGCATAGCATAACGATGCCATCAACATTGCCTAGTGTGAAGAGAAAGCAGAAGGCATGCACGCAGTTGTAGTAAAGAGGTGGGGAAAAGTATGAATCTGCACGATAGAAATGTATTTAATACTATAATTTTTTCAAGGAATTTGAAATTTTTTGCATATGTATACTACTAAGCACTCCTCTATCTAATTTAATTAAAAACTATGGAATCCACGCTCTCTTCTGCGACTAGTTCAGAGCTTTTCCATTAAATTTTTTCGCAAAGTTTTTGCATCTTCCGTCCTGATTTTTTCTTCTACCTTCCTTTGTATTTTCGAAAGGTGTTGGGCTTATCTTGAAGCCACGAACATACTACTTTGGTCAAATGCCAAAATTTTCATGTTTCACAAAGTTGTGACTTGTTTTTTCATTATTTTTGCCACTTTTCTGATCATATCGTCGCAAGGCGAGATGGCTTCTTAATTTGGAAATTTTTGGAACCCTTAGACTGTTTTGCGTAATATGACGTTTTCGTGTTTGGAATATCTGCTTTCATAAAACAAAATACAATTAACTACGTTAATTGAAAATTCCCGGTTGGGTTTATTTTATCCCCCAAATTTTCAAATTTTTCCTTTAGCCAGAATTTTGGATGCCCTCTACAATATCCCTACAATTACAAGTCATATACCAAATAAAGCAATGGAAATGCTGCATTTCAAAAAATTGGAGTATTTTGCTGTAAGTATTGTCCTCAAAGCTTCCTCTAGAGCGAGCAGCCCCATGCTTTTTGCCACTTCTTCGCCGTAATGGCAGCGCTTACGCATTGATCGATGTGCCCCGTAGTAACGCAATAAAGGCAATGCTCTCTCGCACTTTCCACCACCCATTCACCCACCCGCACCCACATGACTGGATTCTTCCTCCGTCCGCACTGGTTTCATTATTGTCACTGCCAGAAAACTTTTAATAATATTCATTTTTTTCATGTGAAATCTCATATCTCCCGTTTGCCCAGATGCAGATAATGCAAAATTGTTTGCGGAAAGTTGGATGACTTGGTAATGATACGAATGTGTAAAATCGATTCCACATGCATGCAAAGCGGACGTACAATAAGTTGATGATATATGTTCCTCTGGTTTGTGGACGACGACGACGAAGAAGAAGAAAAAAAGGAATGAAAATTGACTAGTTTCCGTTTTCTTCGTTCTCGCTGGATATTAGACGGGATGGATTGGAGGGTGAATGGGTGCATGAGTTAAAGTTGGTTGGTTGGTGGGTTGGTTGTTGGCTGGTTGGTTGCATGGTGGGGGAGAAAGAAGGAAAGAAAGGAAGGGTGCTCTTCTCTCGGACCCTATCGGCCCCTTTTCGGGCAGCTTAGTGGTAGAAATTTAACGGGATTTCCACTCTGGTTCTCAGAGAAAGCTACACCGTTCCCTGGCATCGTCTCATGTCTTTCTTGCCTTCTTTGCAAAATATTCTCCTTCTGCACAAAGACAACGGCCCTTTCCCAGTCCAGTTCTGTGTATGTGTGAGTGTGCATCGCTTCTTCCACGGACGGACCGGTAACACTTCCCATTGCATAATACTCTCTCGTGGTTATACTCTCTGGACCGGAATTATTTGACATTTTCTATTCATACTTCACCAATCAGGTAACTTTACACCACAGTCTCACCTTCTCCCCATAAACTTACTCCTTGTTTATTTCATAAGGAAGATAGTTTGTAAGTGCTTAGTTGTATACTTGGTTGTTGTTGCATGATTGCCACCATCATCGCCATGATGAGTCATGCTAATCAATTATCTGACTCAGAAGTCAGCAGAGGAACTAGAAATATTGTCTGAATTGGTGAAGCCTATTATTTCTCGTGATTGAAATCTGTAGTGGTGAGAAAGTTCTGTAATGAAACTAAAAACTAATCGATGGCAACCTCCTCTTCTCAGATTGTGCATCCATACATTTGCAGACGAGCAAGTTTCAAGTTTGAGCCTACGGAGGAAGAAAGGAAAAGAAAAAACTTTGAGAAAGAATCAGTATGATTTTTTTCGGATTTTTTAAGAATTTTAACACGACTGACGATTAGCTGGTCACGATGGGCTGGGCTGAATACCAACTTGGATAGATTTGGGTGGGTGTGCTTTGCCAAATTTGATTTAGTAGAAAGACCAGACCAGAAGGCATCATGTTTAGGATGCAGATAAGACCAGCTCTTATCTTTATAATAATCTCACCCAGGCTAATAACTTACATAGGTACGCATACATACGTACGGATACAGTTCTATCATATCACTCTGCAGAGGAAAAATCGTTCGTCACTGCAAAATGATACCTAAGGGAGTTTAACCTAAGGGAGTTTAACCTGCCTTCCCAGAAAAGCTCTCCCAACACCCCAGCACTTCATTTGATGAAAGTGGTTTTTGCTCTCATTTTGCGATTACAAAGTCAATCATAGCCAGAAGGTTGCTGTCTGTCTGTGTGTATCGATGATGAGAATTGGATTGGATTGGAGGCGAGGGTGCTCTCCTCTCGTCTCGATAAATACAAAAGAGCTACACACTGAACTGACTCGTTCCCTTGTGTTTCCCAATCAAAATGAGATTCGAGCAGGAGAAGAGGAAATATGAAGAATTGTGAATTTGAGACGTATTGCTAATGAAGGTAGGGAAACATTATCGGGCAGGAGCGAGCATGATACCAGTGCACGTAGGTTATCCACCCGTCTCATACCCAGCACAGCTATTATTGCCATTTACTAAACCAACAACAAGAAATAATACAAGGGCAGATATTCTGAGAAAGCTCAATATTGAAATAGAGCCATCCATCACTCCCGTTATAATACTTAATAATGACGAGCAGAGCAGGTATGTATAGTCAGTCAGTCACAGCAGGCTTGATCCATTCCAGTCTCGTTTATTCCTCTTGTTTTGGCAAGAAGGTGAAATGTGCCAATTTCCGGAATGGGCTTTATGCGAGTGCATACATAGTTGGACCTCGGAGAATGAATTGGAAACGGCATTTATTTATCCATCCAGTATCACGTTCGCCCTCCATTGTGCTGCTGGGCGAAAATAGTTTTGCTTGCAGGGGATGGACTCGGGAAAGTTAAACAAGGAGCGTATGCATGCAACTTTCCGTCGACGTATGTTGTGAGAACCAGTCAGTCCCACCTTCTTACCGCTGATAATGTCCGTGTGCTGTCTTCTTCCTCCTTGGGAGGAGAAGAACAAGGAACGGCTACAGCTAAACAACCATGTCAGACCCTGGTTGGCTTCATGAATCATATTTTCATGTGATTGATGCGATAAAATCTTCCCCTCTTTGCACTTTCACTCCTTTTCCTCCTGCGGGAACAAATGTGCTGAATTTCCGTAGTTTCTATCTATCCATCCACACGCTCTTCCTGCTGGGAGGATTTCCAACCAATATTAATCTATCCCTCCAAAAAACTGATATTTCTGCTGCATTTAGTACATTATTGAACAATAGATTATTCTGCTGTAGTCGTCAATCACATGAATCCGTCATTCCATCTCATCTCAACATTCCACAAGAAGGGAGCAGATTTATGTACTCTTTTTATCAAATTGGACGATGCGACGACGCCGAGTTCGGAGGAAGCTTCTTATTGACTAATTTTTGCAATTGCCAAAGTGAAATGAAGCTCTATCGGCCTCGTCAGCAAGTTTACTTTTCACTTCAACGTACATTCGTCGTACTGCACACGTCATACGTATGAAGTTGGGTTGGCGTTTTCTTCTATTTCGATATCTTTCAATTCATGATCAGAGTCGGAAAGTTTGTTCCAAATTCTTTTCTTCAATAGTTTATCTCTCTCTCTCTCTCTCTCTCTTTCTCCATTCAGCTTGCCACGTTTGACCTCGTCTTATCAACAAACTTTAATCACATCCATTCCCACCAACTAACCACCCACCAGTAACTGCCGTCGAATGTGAGTGGTGCAGTAGGACTACACATAGTTTGCAACCAAAAGTAACTTTCTCCATTCAAGTCTGCTGCTTTTCACTCCACAACCAACTAACCAACCAACCAACTGACTTTCAATCCGTCGAGGACTGATTGAACAATGCTTTCAACGACATAACCTTTCTAACGACACAAGACATGTGTACACAGCCCACGCCACACAAAAAAACGGTATTACAGATCAGAATTGATCTCGGAATGTATTGACAGGATAAATAATGTAATACCCAGAGTTTTACTGTGTGACATGTGTGGATGTGGTTACATTTGGAGTGTAGGTACTCGTGTGGATTTGTAGGCTGATTCGTTTTCCATGTTGTTTTTCTTTTCTGAGTGAAATTTATACAAAATATTTATCCTTCCACGACGGATGGAAATCTTAAACAATAAGATTAGAGCGCATGCCGGTGCATGAACCTAGCTTTTTGCTTTTAAATAATAAACCATTTCGGGAAAAATGTATGATGATGCGAACTACATTATTCATGCAAATCTCGACACTTTCTCTCCTCACGGACTCGTCAAGCTACACCACACTGCCCGGACGGGAACTCTGTTGTTTTATCCATTCTGACTAAAGTAGGCTGTTGGCGGTGGTGGTTGTGCATTTCCTCTAAATGTTTTCCTCTCCCACTGCGCCATGCCATGCCACCACCCGTCACCATGCAGTCGCCATCGCCGCACGGACCGTGAATGATGGACGGCAAGAATCTTGACTTGGTTTTCCAACTGATAAAAATCTCCGTGCTTGCTCCGAAGCTTGTTCACAAAGGATATTTATTCAGGAATGTTAATTGTGGTGGGAAGAATAGGCTACATTATAGCAACGTATATACATATGTACATAGCATTGTGTATACGTAATAGAAACAAAGGGAGAGAGAGAGAGAGTGAATAAAGTGGAAAATCATGAACCAACCAGTGATTTCGCCTGTCATGTAAATAACGGCCCATCAAACACGACAGACTTATTATTCTAGGGGAACACGAACCAACTGTCCTTCATTTCGCACTGCAGTGAAAATTTTCACTTTGCGTATTAATACTCATAGAGTTCTTAAATTACATATTGTAAATGGAGTGCATTATATTCGGAAGAATTCTACACTAAATCATATCCACTCTAATGAGTTCTTTGATGGTCGTGGTGGCGTTGGCAGGTGCGGTGTTTGTAAAATCTCGACTTCACTTTGGCTAATTAAGCACCTCTCTCGCCGTGTATCAAGCTACACCTCGTAGACAGCTCTGCATAAGTGAAAATGTTTCGCAAGCGGGTGAAGAAAAGTTCATCTTCACTTTTAACCGTATTTATTTATTTATTTATTTTTCTCCCCGACAGAAAACTTGATTAACTTGAATGCCACTTTTACCTTCCTCCATAAATATCAATAACAACATGCCTCCTTTGTTTCTATTTCCTTGCAGGGAGGAGAATACTTTTATTTCTCAAGAAGACTTGAATGACAACCAACAAGGATACTTTCTCTGAAGGTATTCCCTCTTGGGAAAGAAACCTCCAGAAAGAGCAGCAGTCACTGTGAGAGAAGAAATGCAAAGCACGCACTACGCCTGACAGCCGTGGTGATGATGATGATAAGAGTTATCAAAAATGAACGACTCATTTCCCATTTACAAGAGTGACACAGTTTTACTGCAGAAAGTGTCGCCGTGATCTGAATTGAAGTTCCAGTAGGAAAAAGAAACCAAATATACCGAAGAATAACTTTTTTGAATTGAATATTATTAAGTAAACCATACAAAGGGTTGAGTGGAGTAGTGGCTTCGTCCACGCCTATACACACAAAAAACTCTGCTGGTTATTGTTATTATTAACTCACTTTCTCCACCACCACCGGTCTCCTCCTCCTCCTCCTTTTCCATTCAATCGTCGCAATAACATAATATACTCGAAAATAGAAATGCACAAGAGGAAGAACATAATAATGAACGAGCTTATTCTCTGGATCACAATCGTCTGCTTCGTTACTGAAGGTAAGAGAAAGCTATGTTTGTCTGTGTATGCTTAACAATGAGATAATCGGGCATGCTTTTCATTAATTAAGGTGTATGTATGAGATACATACCAATACCGCAGTATAATGGACAGACGCCAAGTCAAATTTGTTTGCATAATTCGCGACCCGCAGTAAAAGCGGTGTTCTCAGACAGGACAAACCGCAACCAACCTACCACCACAGGATATAAGGATGGATTTGTGCACAAATCGATGCCATTTTTCCTTCTTTTCTACATTCTACTCTTGTGCCTTATAAGTTAAAGCACCGGGCAAAAAGTGTGTTACATGTCGCATTGCATTTTCCTTTGCATGTGAAATCCAGAACAGAGAGTTGTGTTGTGAGTCTTACTTAGTTAATCGTAATTATGGAGTAGGGACGCCGGTGCGGTTTGGCGGTGGTGGTTGTGGGCAACGGTGTTTCACAATTTTACGATACTCGTCAATATAATACGGCAATATAATGCTCGTCAACTGCCTAAATACTTGTGCTAGGTTGCAGACAAATATTTGTTCAATACTTTTACCGTGTTGGTTTAGGGATTATAGACGACGAAATTAGCACCTTACGAAACTCAAGTATTAAGGTTTCATTATTAAACCTTACTGATCCATAAATCATGTCTTTCTGTATTCACTTACATATAAACTACGTATATTCAGCTCGGCTCGCCTCACAATTGAAGGGAAATAATGATGTAATATGGATATTAATGCCAGAATAAAGTTTGGTTTTTCATCTATAGTCCTCTTTTTTTGACGGTTGCCGTTTACCTTTCAGTTATTACTATTCGATTCCCACAAAGTGAGCATAGCCAAAATAAGGTGCTAAAATCATATAAAGTTTTTTAAAGCAGCTCATGAAACTTGGTAACGTTCCTCTCAATTACCAAGTTTGTATTTTGGTAAAATTATTAGCCTCAAAGTATCAGCAAACTTGAAACTTTCTCTCTCTCTTCACTTTCTTTTTTATTTACACGGTGGCTTAATTTTACACCCTTCAGCAGACATGGTTTGAGTAGAAGTTGGGTCAAAAGTGTCACCATGATGCTGGTCATGGTGGTGGTGGTGGTGCTTGCGTCTTTTTTGAAGGTTGGAATGGAGGTCACCCTTCTTTCTTGCGCCTCTCTTACTTTTATTTTATCAAGATTTATGTCCCATATCGGAAGTATGCAGTCATTCAGCGGCAGCAAAGTCGAGTAGATACTGCTACCCTTATCTATGCCTATTTGTATTCCTTAATCACCCGAGAAGATGACGGGACAAAGCCAGCTTTCATTCATGTTTAAGCACAAAGTGCAGCTTCCTGTTTCAAGTTTGTTTGTTCCCGAGTTAATTTCCTAGTCAGACGGGAGAAGCAGTGCAAGGATTGTAGAAGAAACCACAGCAAGTTGTTGGGAATGACAGTTATGACGAGATGCCTTTGGAGTGAGAGTAGTCGGTCGTAGTTGTAAGAGTGGAGGTGGTGGTGGTGGTGCGGTGCAGAGTGCCATCAAATCAAGATGAAAGGCTTCTCACTCTTTCGCTTTCTCTTCCCCACCAGGTCTGACTTTCTCTCTTTCGGAATTGGAACTGTAGTGATGATCTTTCTGCTCTCAAATTATTATTCCTTTCTCCCAAATGCTAGGACTTCCCTGAAACACATCTGTGATCCGTGTAATCGTATTCGGAGATTGAGCTCAGTTCAGTGAGTGGAACGCAATTTGTTGATGAAGTATGTGGCCTGGCTCTCATCTCCTCTCATCCGCCCGCTTCATCAATCCTTTGCTCGCATATATGCAAATCTCGATAAAAGGTGGGTAGGTGGGTGGGTAGAATAATCGCTTTGATTTATAGCGGCATGCACAGTTTCCAATCCCGTCCCAAAAGGAGAAGAGGGTAATCATGTTTGGGAATTAAACTCCGTCGGGAGGAAGACATTGAATGGGATGGATGGATGGATGTCAGCATAAGAAAGAGAGGGAGACAGTACATCATTTCGTGTTCACTTTGGTCTTCCTGGCACGCTTGGGTGATTTTTTCGTCCGGGGAAAGCTATAAAACGTCTTCAAAAAGACTTGGTCTTCAAAAAGAACCATGATTGCGACATTTGCTTCTTGTTTTGTCGGATTCTTTCATCTGAATGAATGTGAGCAAACTTCATTTCGTTTCATAATAAGTTCGAGTTGTTGTTATGGTTTATCCTTCCTGAGCATGTCACCCACCACTCCATTCTCACTTGGTGGTATAAAACAAAGGAAGAAGGAGATTGGAGCAGAGTGGAATTCAATTCAATTCCGGTCTTTTCGCATTGTTTCGTTCCTCTCATCTTGCCTTTCTAGTTTTTGCCCCCTTCTTTTTTCTTGTCCTCTGTAAATACCAATTTCAAAGGGAGACTACTTTGTTGCAGAGTTTCACAAGAAAAAAAGAAGGATTGCCAACTTTATTTTATTTTCTACACATTTTTTTCTCCCTCTCTCTTTCCCATAAGATACCAGTCGGGCACATTTGATTCACTTCAATTTCACTTGCATTCAGCTCCACTCATGTCATCATTACTGTGTTACATGGTCGCGAGTCGCTTGTTCCTATTTTTATTGCAAAATTTGGCCTGACATAGCGATCAGTAAGTGTATTGGGTATAGGGCGACAATAAAGGACTTATTCGTTATAGAGAAGTGGGTATTAAGGATAGGCGAGTGAACATGGGAAGAAAATGGAGAAAGAGTTTGCGAGAGAGAAAGCACACACCAGTCGACGAAGAATCCATCTAAATGCAATTCACGATGGTATATATGTATGTATATACACACGGACGGGGCCTTTGATTACTTACAACAACCTGCAGGTTGAGCCCATCCGCTATGCTACGTGTACCGTATTCCCTCCAGAAGAAACTTTCTTTTCCTCTCTCTCTTGCACCGTCCGGAATGAAAAGGCATTCTACTTAGGACCACCATGCACTAGTTCACAGGGAGGAATAAGTGAATAAAATAGAAACTTGTGGTACGACTTGAGAATATGTGGGGTCGAGTTATTCTCTCGATTTCCTCTCTTTTGCTTTGCAATATGTGACCTGGGCAAATCGGGTAACGGAGCATGATAATTTGACACCAGGTTGTTGAAAATGTGGAATATCGAAAACCCGATTTCGTTTACCTCTCGCGTAATATCATTATCGATTGAGCTAATCTTTCTGCTGCATATTATTCCCTCCAAGTTGCTGCTGCTGTTATGCCACGGTGGAATATGACACGATAAAACTTGAGTAAACGACTTATTCTATAAATCTCTATTAAAAGTTCCATTTTTATTTTTCTAGGAGCACCTTTCTCGGAGAAGTTGAAATCTGATGGGGACCATCACATCCAATTGATTTCGGTGGACCAGGGGACAAACTTTAGCCTGCCTTGCGGTGGAGCGAAAGGGTCCGTCATGTGGATTCACGAAGACAAGAGAGACTTGGTCAGGACTTATCGCGTTCAGCAGGATGGGAGTCTATACTTTCCGAACATGAAAAGGTCGGATGCGGGCATTTATTCCTGCCGAGTGGAGACAGATTACAAATCATCAGCCGAAGAGTCGGTCGAGGCACGTGTGCGGATCCATGTTCGCAGTATGTTCTGCATATTTTATTGTTTTGAATATGAATCTGACTTTCTTCAACTTTATTTCCTTGAATGAAGCTATTTTGACTCGAGTTTTGTTTCCTGTTTGTTCCCAGCTGCACCTTTGGCTCCGAAGAACGTGACAGTAGAGCCGTTTACAATATCAGCTTCCGTTGCTTGGGAGATAGACAAGGAAGGCGAGGGGGGATATGCCATTCGAAATTTCCAGGTAATTATAGGGAGCAATTACTGTTAACTAAAGTATTATTTGGGTATCAATGAGCAGATTTTTTCTTAGGTGAGGCTATGGTTACTGAAAAAATACCTAAGTAAGCATTCACTCGGGTTCTGAAAAGTGACCACAGCCCATAACTTTGTCATTTCTCAACCGATTTCGATCAAATAAAAACCCAGAGTCAATTATAATCACGAAGAATCTAATTCTCAGCTGCCATGCACGAACTCTTCTTATTTTGTGTTTAATCGTTCAAAAACCACTTCCATGGCAACATTTTGCCTTATTATACTAAAGTGAAGCATTTAACAGAAAATATGCGTGGATGGAAATGTGACAAATGTAGCTATCTTTCATTTAAAATTATAATCATCAAAATCGGTTGAGAAATGAAAAAGTTTTCCCTTTGACGAAAAATGAACCTTTGGGTTCAGGACCGGCGCTCAGGTAACTGAAGGAGTCAGGTCGCCTAGCAATTGAAATGCTTTGATTCAAATATTTAAAGGATGCAAGTGTAAAATATCCTAACCCAGCACTATGGGCCAGGGGGCCAAAAATGTGGCCGTTAAGGCAGTACTTTGAATTGGCTCATATCGTATACGATTATGGACTACACTATTATGTTGTCCTAAATGCATAATATTAAGTGAAAAGTTACACCCACTCCGGAGTACCAGGGGGGTAAACTTTACCAAACACATTGCGGAGATAGGGAAAAACGCCCTTTAGCATTTCCGTCCATTTCCGTGCTTTACAAACTTGCTTTCTATACCATTCGAGACCTTCTGGTGTGGAGAATAAATGCTGGTGCCGGAAAATGCCACTTTCGAATACAGGTCCAACCACACCCCTTCCTAGTCACATACATAACTAAATAAGTAAGGAGCTAAATTGATGTCATTTAACGGCATTCTTAGGTAAAATCATCGTGCGACTTATCGATTTGACAGACAAGATACGTGGGTGTCGACTGCCCATCCAGATCGAAAAGCCACCATCACCGGGGTGTGGCTATATGTAGGTGCCCCACATTATAATGTGGCAACAACATTGACAGTTCAAATTCGGATTACTTTTCAAATTATTTACCGATTTTCAAATTTGTGACTGTTCTGGAAACCTTAGGTAAATGGGCGAAATATTAATTTCCAGATTTTTCAAATTCGACCACACCCCCTCGAAATTAAGGTCAAAAAATTATAAAATATAATTAACGAATACCGCTAAATTTCAGACTAAAAATCGAATTTCTTGTCGAAAAATACCTCGACACCGTGGGCACTACCAGCCATGTTCAAATGGTCACATGCCACACCCCTTGTGGGTGTCGCCCTCGGCGACTTTTCGATTTTAAGGGAACCATGTCATGTGATATATCATTTTTCTCAGCTCGACGAGCTGGTTTCGACGGAATACCTTAGCTTGAGAAACCGCACCCCCCAGTGGGTGTGGTTCTAAGTAAGTTATCGTTCTTGACGAAACCATGTCATGAGATGTATCATATTTCTCAGGTCGACAAGGGGGACTCGACGGAATACCTAAAATTTGCAAACCGCGCCCCCAGTGGATGTGGTTTTTAGAAAATTTTCGATTTTAATAAAACCATGCCCCAGTGGGTGTGGCTCTCGGCGACTTTTCGATTTTACGTCATGCGAAATATTTACACTTTTTGTTAGCTGGACGACGGGATCTCAACAGAATTTTTAGAATTTTGAAACCACACCCACAGTTGGTGTGGTGTTCAGCGACTTGAAGCTGTTTTCTCCGATTTTAAATTTCCCCCACACCGAAATAGCACCACCTGTATTATTTTGTTTCGAATTGTATTTTTTTAATTTGAATTTCCATAAAAGCTCGTGTTTTCGGTTGTAGCGGTTTTGATTGCATTTTCAGTTCAAATTTAAATTTGTCAACAAGTTTTGTTTTATAATTTTAACGCTATATTAAGAACGAAAGAACTAAATCATTTCCTCAAAATTACTAAAAATAAAATTATCAAAATACGTTTCTAAAAATTTAAAACTTTGTGTGCGATTTCGTAATTTCGAAAAATGCAGCAAGAAATTGTGAAAAATTACGAAAGTAGGATTTTCTCAATTTACATAATGCAATTCTAATTATTTTGTCGAAATCCCCTCATTTAGTTAAGATAAATGATGTATTTAATGAGATGACATGGTTTAGTTAAAACTGAAAAGTCGCTGCACGCGGATTTTGGGTATTCCGTCGAAACCCCTTTGTCGAGATTAGGAAAATTATATAACACACGACATGGTTTTATTAAAATCGATAATTTCCTGAGAACCACAACCACTGGGGGTACTGTTTCGCAATTTAAGGTATTTCCTCGAAATCCCCTTGTTGAGCTGAGAAAAATTATATATCACATGGCATGGTTCCGTTAAAATCGACAATTTGCTTAGAGCCACACCCACTGGAGGTGTGGTGTCAAAATTGTAATGATTCTGTCGTGATCCCCTCGCCGAGCTGAGAAAAATGATATGTCACATGGCACGGTTCCGTTCAAATCGACAATTTGCTTAGAGCCACACCCACTGGAGGTGTGGTGTCAAAATTGTAATGATTCTGTCGTGATCCCCTCGCCGAGCTGAGAAAAATGATATGTCACATGGCACGGTTCCGTTCAAATCGAAAAGTCGCCGACGGCCACACCCACTGGGGGTGTGGCAGGTGACTATTAAAACTTTCCTCATATAATACATGCCTTAGGTTATTGTTGCACACCAAAATCTAATTTTTATTTCTTCAAATTCGGGTCCTATATATTTTTGGCCAAAATTTATTAAATCTGGCCCACTGTGGGTTATTTCAAACTTTTAATCGCACATACTCCAGTCTCACCTAAGCAATCCTTTTTAGGGTTTAGTTTATCGAATGCTCATTTCGCTACGTTTTCAGAAAAAATTGTTATTATTATTATTATTTGTTTAAAATAATAAAGGGGATATGCCATTACAAATTTCAGGTAATTATATGGGGCAATGAGGTACAGATATAGATACACACAAAAAATAGTTATGAGTAAATTCGCAGTCTCGTGAGGTATACATCTAGTTAGTTCTTAGTTAAAAACGTCGAGGACATACAGATTTCCTTCATAAAATCTTTTGTGATGCATCTTTTAACAATAATCAACTATTTGAAAGCATTATCCTTATGTTATTCTCATTCACATTTCATCGCCCTTCGGTAGTCTCACTGAGTCTCATCTTCCCCATCAAACTCAAAACCCACATCAGTCTCAACATATTCAATGTTTTAACTACTTTGATTTATTCCCCCGATTTTATTAGTCTAAAAATTTATTAATGTTATAAATCTTAAAGAATAGCGGGCGTAAATAGTCGACACTATTTTCTCCTTCGCTTAAATTAAATCTACCACCTATTTCAAATGCGTAATAAATTTATGTATGTCGACGGCATAAGAACATATTTTAAAGAAATATACTTTCTTTTGGGTTGAATTTATCTTAATCCAATCCAATTATTTCAGATTGCGTATCGCTTAAAAAACGCGACGGAAAACGATTGGCAGACGTGCCTTCCTGCATTTATTGAACCATACCTTGTAAGTCCTACTCATACCACAAAACTTAAGATGTCACAGAATCATAAATATAAATCACCAATTTCAGAGACAATACAGCATTTACCACCTGCAGCCCAATTCGTCATATGTGGTGAAAGTTTGGGCCAACAATAAATTAGGAAGTGGTCTGAGCACGTTGGTGGAAATGATGACGAAGAATGATCCACAAGAGATTGGTAAGTATCATGACTTTTTCTCCCAAACACGTACATTTCTGATGCTTTATTAAGAACAAAAACATGGAATTTCAGTATTTGCATCATTGCTCTTTTTTCTTATCCAGAGCTACGAAAGCACTTTCTTGACGGTGTGGACTCTTTTGACGTGAGAATATGGATAATCGCCGTTGGAATCGTGATCACTACTCTCCTCGTCCTGGGACTTGCGACATGTTGCTTATTTTATAGAGAGTATAACATGCATCTTGTGGCTGACTCGACGGACGTTGACGGTGAAAGCATCGAGTTGATGCCGAATATTATTCTAAATCCGGTATGACCAACATTATTTACGATAATTACTGAATTTATTGAGATGTTTTAGAGACAAAGTATTACAAGAAACAGTTTATATATATTATTTATGTCAATGAAGGCCTGGCTTTCTTCTTTGGTGGAGCATTACTTTTTTTGACGTTCATGAATTGTATTTTAGGGCTACGACTTTCAATCTGCGGAAATCTCACATCCGGATGAGAACTCTAATAATACGACAGCCACGCGAGTCAACAATAACTCGGTCGTATACCCTTCGCGTGTGTGACAAATACAAATTGCGGTGTTCATGTCCAACTCACGACCCATGCAGTCATCCTTCCCCTTCTTATCGTCGTCATCATCTGATGGTTGTAGTTCTTATATCTAAAAATGGTCAGACGCCGCCGTCGCTGTTGTTTCGTTGTAAGAAGAATAATTCGCAGAATGTACCTGCTACATCCATGCTGCTTGATGCTACTGTTAAAAATATGGTGTGTGTCATAAATTGTACTGTTTTCTCATGAAAAAATCTCACAAAATGATATCTGGTTGGTTCGGCAGAACCAACAATGTATAACTTCTGGTCTCGCAGCAACTCATAATTTTGTATTTTGCTATTAAAGTTGTAAAAAGAGTGGCTGCTATATGTTTAGTGAATAATTATATAAGTAAGTAAATATGTACAGAATGTAAGACTCGAATGTGTAGCAATACCAATAACGCGACCTTTTAATGATGAAAATACTTTCGAGAAGTACATTTAGTTTTAATTTATTAATGGGATAATAAATCATGAATAACCCAAAGGCTTATACTTGTTTTTAAATATATATACCAATGTACCCCCGAAATTTATAATATATCGTTTATGATTTGCTATTTAAATTAGTCAAGCTCGTTTAAGCGTTATTTTTATATCCAATGAAGATGAGTACAATAAATAATATTGACGACATTCAGCTAGTTGTTGACCGTGCATTTTTATTAATACTGGTCATATCCGTATTGTCCATTAATTCAAAATCTATACAAGTCTCATCTCAACGTGAAATCACAAGTCTTCATTAACATAACCAAGATACAACAAGATTAAGATAGGACACGAGAGTGTAAATTTAAGCATGATAAAATTATTTTACTCTGGAATTATCCTAAGTCCGTTTGTAGACCCATCAGTATTCAAGAGTTCTGGCGTTCATTAACAAAATTGGCATGCATGACAGTTGAAGTAGGGTATGCCTAAAATGTCATGGAGCTGTGCAGTGCGATGGTTGGCGGATGGTTGAAAGTCTCCAACTCAAAAGTCCTACTTTCTCTCCGTCGATTCAATTTGCTCTTTTTGTTTCGTTGTTTTTGTTTAACTTTAACTGCACCTTTCTTGTCATAATTAAAAAGGTGATTGAAACATTGAGGCAGTCAACATGGTGGTAAGGTAAATACTCGTCAAGTCATTTATACATCTACTAAGTAGATTCTACTTACAGACGGTTTATAAAATGTTCATTTAATCATTCCTCCTTTGTTCTGATATTTATATAAAGTTCCATCCAATTGCTATTCGTCATCCGGTCATCATCATGAAATTATTGCAAGTCGTGTCGGCACAATAATGGCGCAGCTCGGACAAATTCGCCAACATCCTGCCCGGCTAATGAAACCCCTCCAACAGATGCAAATTAGTAAACGATGGTTTTGCCGGAGCAAAGACGATGCGACAACATCAACCGGTGGTACAGTCAAAAAACTGTCCATGAGTTCGTCATCGCCAACCGTTGGAGTAGATCCCAACTCGTCGCCGCAAATAATTGATATTAACATTGGTGGTCGTGATTTTCTGGTGGGAAGTGACCAATACTTTGATTTCAGCAAAAGCTTTAAACGTTCAGAGTCGTGGAGGTCAAAACTTGTCAGTACGATGCTAGTCTATCCCAATTTTATTTCGGGAGAGGAGGAATTATTAATTCTTAAGGAAATCGAACCTTACTTGAGTCGGTTGCACTATGAGGAATCACATTGGGATGATGTATGTGAATATAATATTTATTTCTTTATTTAACAAAATTGCAATGATCATGAAGGATAATTATTGGATTATGATTATTTATTTTTCCTCAGGCTATTCACTCATATAGAGAAACGGAGAGGAGCAAATGGAACAAGAAGAATGAAGTCATAATTAACCGTATCCGTGGACTGGCATTTCCACCTGAAGTACCTCAACTTAAACTAGTTCACATTTTAGATCTGGCTAAAAATGGAGTGATTAAACCTCATATTGATAGTATACGAGTAAGTTGTTGCCGATTACAATTATATTTACTTGGTCTTAGGTTAATGGGTTGGTATCATTAAAGTTTATTGGAATAATTACTCTTTATAGTTTTGTGGGAATACAATTGCTGGACTTAGCTTACTTTCTGACTGTGTTATGCGATTGCGACATGAAGTTCAGAAAGATTTTTACTGTGATATTTTACTACCTCGACTGTCCCTTTACATGATGAGGTAATTAGCTATTTCCTAATTCTAAATATATTGATTCTGATTTGCACTTATTTCCTGTGTACAGGAACTTTGCTCGGTACGAGTTCACTCACGAGATTCTGGGAGATGCAGATTCTACCTTCAAGACTTCTAAAATAACGCGAAACCGTCGAATTTCAATAATATGTCGAAATGAGCCAACGATAACAACGAATTCAAACCAAACGCCAGTGTTCACACCTCTTAATGAAACCTGATTCAAAGTAATTAATTGTCGGTGGACGTAGAAAATTAGAGTTCAAAAAATTAGTTTATTAATTTTGTCATTATAATGTCATTTTTAAACTACCTACCTATGCACTACACGGGCGACTAGTTCATGTTCTGAACTATGTATTTACATTTAGTAAAAAACATTATCTAGATAATAATAAAAAATGGTCAACAAGCTTTGAACTGTATCGTCATTGTAGCTATCTAAACAATTTGCATGCAAACATATTATACTTGTATTAATATATATTATACTTCTAATGTTACAAATATAATTTTACAATATGCATAAATTTCAAGTAAGGGAGGATTTGGAAATTACGTAACCCAACGAGCCCCCCTCTGAAGTTAATAGCAGTTACTGAAGTCTAGATTAACCGATCATTAGGGTAGGGAGGAGTTATACCGAAGTTGTATTGCCTTCTAGAATTTCGATATTCATATGATGCGTACTTTAGTGTGCATCATTGTATAGTAGAAGCCCCCAGTGGCGATAGTTCACTTGCGTCGTCACATTGAATGACTACCTCGCTACCTTCCAACCTTTTCAAACGATTTTGATAGAATTTTCTTCTATTTTTAGCCCAAGTCATGGCGTATTAAATCATATTTCTTGCGTGTCCGCAACCTGACGGACCACTGAACCGATTTTAACCAACTTCTTGTTAAAATGTGTATCTCCACAAGGCCTTGAATGAGTTTGGAGATGGACCAGTGGATGACCAATGGGGGTCATTCCAAAAATTATCATTTTGTAAAATGCTGAAAGGGCATTAAAATCTGGCATTTTAAACATAACGTAACGTAGTTTCGATAAGTAAAGCGTCAAGATATTTTTTCACATTAGTAGAAAATTGTGGGTAAAAATGCGTATGAAAGTTGTACAAACCCTAAAAAGCTACTATGGAAGTATGTCAACAGCAGGTATCAGAGACAGCAGTATGAGCTAAAGAACAAATGTGTATGGAATCGTGTAGGTAACAAAACAACAACATAGTGTTGTGCTTCCCGGACAATGCAATGCATTCAATTCTTCTTAAAGGATAAGAATTAAGAGAATTACGTCCTAGATAGAGGAAACATTATCTTGGAATTACATCCCCTGGGAATGTTCTTGCTTGTAAACAGCATGGAAGGCGTTACGAATGAGTGCAAATGGGAAGCATGATTCCAGGAGGTCGTAGGTCAAAAATGGAGATTCTTGGACAATCTGAAGTCAACAAAATTGACATTAGAAGATTAAATACAACAACATTAACTACAATATGCATACCATGTCCAATAGCAGGTAAACGGATTCTCTGTTTTTCACAGCCTCCTTTTCCTCTTCTTGACCCAGGCGCAGTAAACTTGAGGAGGCCAACTATAAGTTTTAAACAACTTATTATTGTATGAAAGAAAGCATGGAAGATAAAATTGTTTAGCACGAACCGCAAGAAACTCCTTGAGACGATCTTCCACATCATTTTGTCCATATATTGTAAACAAGGCACCGAAAATTGAGTTTACTGCGGCAGCCAGGCAGTGAATGTTATTCGAATGAGCTTCCAAAGAGGCTCGGTACACTGAAGCATCTTGTCTTGCCAGTTTTGGAATTGAAACGGCAACAAATACCATCAGCAGACATGAGAGCGCATATTCTTCTTCATTTCCGTCTGAAAGAAATTATATTATGAGCTGAAAATTACGATTATTAAAAAAATACGGAATTTACCATTTTTCTGCAGACGAAGAGTTTGGACCAAAGTCGGGTCAATTTTTTGTGGGATGCCTGCTGCAGATGCCATTTCCGCCACGTTCTGTAAATCAACGTAGCAATCTTTAACTTATGGCAAACGAAACGACCAAGACTTTATGTGTTGTAAAGGATTGAGCTAATTACCATTGACTCTCCATTTGGAGCGTGCTCATGGAAATCCAGTATGGATGATAACAAAAATGGTATCCGATCTATCAAAACGTCATGCATTGCTTCTTGTGTTAACTGTTGAAATCTCAGAATCATTCCGATGATTGTCATTCTTGACAATACGTTTTCAGCATCTATTGGAGACAAAAGTTTGTCCAATCTTAAGTTCCTTCCTTGTACATGAAGATCATAAGATTTATTTACTTGATAATTTTCGTGAAAGTTCCTTCATCAATTCTGGCTTATCAAAATTTGTTCTTAGAGCCATCAGTGTTTCTTTGTTTGTGGCCACCATTTTCTGGGAATACAGAATGTGTTAGTTTATTCTGACTACGACCTTAAAATTTATATTCATTTTTGTAGCTAAAAGGATTTAATATTCCTCCTCACCTTTAATTCCGTCAGTTGGCTTGTAATTTGCCACATGAGGGTCTCATTCATATGTTTCATCCCATATGGACCAATCAGCTCGGCCAAAGCCCGTAGTTCCGTGACATCTGTAAATTCTTCCGCACTAAATGGCAACGCCCCTTCGGCAGTAAGACTGACGAACGCTCGCTGATTTGGGGAAAATGTTATGATTCCCGTGCTCACCCTTCGAAGCAATATTTCAGTGTACCATTGCTGATACAAGGCTGCTACGGTTTTATCTCCGTGAGAGTCTTGTTGCTGAGTCTGTTGAAGCAGGACGTTGTTAAACACTCTGGTCATATCCAAGTGAACTGCAAATTCGGGAGGATAATATGTAATAAAATTGATATAGATACTGTCAAAATAGATCAATGTCCATACCATAATTTTCAGCTGTTTGAAGAACATTCATGTACGTTCGGACACTGGCAAGAAGTTCTGATGGTTTTGCAATTTCGTTAGTTTCTGCATTGTACATCACCATCCCCACCAAAGCTTTGGCAAACCGACTTTCCAGGTGCTGGTGAAGATATTCCTTCGGAGCTACAAAAATTTAAAAAATGAACATAACATTTCATAATTTTGTAAATGTTACTTACCGAAAGTATACTCCCAGACAGAAATAGAAGGACAATAATTTATAGCATAGCATAGCTCGGTCAATGCCATATGTAGCTTATCCATTCTGTACGAAATAATAATATTTATAATTAAAGACCGAGTTAGAAAAAAGTCAAATTTTTATAACTTGAAACCAAATTATGCATGTCTTCTTACGTGGTTAGATCTTCCCTCGTTTTCCGGAAACTCTCAATTCCAGGTCTACAGACTTCAGCCAGTAGTTTCCTTTTGGCAGTATCTTTCCCTTTTTTCCGGTGTAGATGTTGCTCAATCAGGGATGCACAATGCTTTGGAAGTAACTATAGAGGATAAATTTAATGTAGACAAATGTAAAACAAGCGCTCCAAAATTATGAAATGCAAACCTTGTCAGTAAGGGTGCATTGCTCGTCACATATTGTCGTGATAATATTTTTAGCTTCCTTTGCCATTTCCTCCAGAAACACATTAACCACAGATAAACTGCGCTCTCGAATATGGTGACGCTGAAAAGAAGAATGGTAAAATTATCTAACATGTAATTAATGTTTTCACAACTCTAAACAAACTTGGCTTCTCGTCTACCTCTTCTGGACACATTTCATGCGTGCAATTTTGGAAGTGACTGCATATCAGTGGGAATGAAACAATATATCGGTTTTGAGCAGGAAATTCCAAACACATATGAAACTGGTCTTCAAATATCCGATTATAAAAACTGGAGAATAGAATAAAGAACAAACAAACTTATTAAAACCATATCACAATAAATATTTCAACACATCACTAAATTCAAAATTATACGTACCATAAAAGGGACAGGTCCGATGTTTCTAGCAATAATTCATCTTGATAGTCAACCAACTTGAGGTGAAAAACGGTCGTGTTCATTAGATAGGATAGCCCTTGAATTCGACCTACAGAGTGCGCAAGGAATGACTGCAATCTGTACCAGTCTAACCTCAGACCCCGGAAGTCAAATATTTCGTTGTCTTCAACTGAAAATTTGAAACATATATATAAGAAAATGCAAGTAATATTCACATGAAATCCAGGCAAAATTAACAAACCTTGTTTAACAGATAAGCTGGAAATTGTGTTGTAAATGGACCCCAATATCATTGATTCGGTTTCCAATTTTGCAAAATTGGGTAAAAGTTGTCCCAATGCGGGTCCATCATAGCATGATAAATACTGGACGTAATACCGTTGAATTACTTGACTGTACTTTCGTACCAGTGCTGCAAATATGCAATAAAAACATACATTAAATTCTGAGACCTCAATATTCATTATCGCATAATTTATTAAATAATTTAAGGTATTTTAAATAAATTACAGAACTGACAATTTGAATAAAATAAGAATACAATATATTAAGGAAAATGATATCATTGAAATTTTTCGGCCGATGTCAAAATTTTTAAGAAAATTATGGTAGTCGAAACCCATGACCCCGCATCACCCCCTGGTCAGGTGGGGCTAAAGTAAGAATGACTTAGAATTGCAGAGCACTACGCATCCAAATGAATACCCGAAGTAGGTTTTTAATGTTAATTTAAATAGTTTGGTTATATCTGTATTTTTACGAATGATTTATATTAAGCAAAGATAAAAAATTGATTAAAAGGAGAGATTAGATTAATAATTAATTAGTTGGAATTAATTTTAAAGATGAACCTACAATTAAAAAATGGAAGGAAAAGTTGCAAAAAAGTAGCGCCCAACGTGGGGCTCGAACCCACGACCCCGAGATTAAGAGTCTCGTGCTCTACCGACTGAGCTAGCCAGGCTACGGTTATGGGTAGTTGGTCACTATTTCTGTTTTCTCGTGCAAAGTGACTTTTTTATGCTCCATTCTCCAGCTTCCAACAGGAAACCAGTTCCACCGTTCCTCGAGCCTCATTCAACCTTTTCTTTTATGTTCACTTATTTACTTTAGTTCTGTCATAAAAGATTTTTTTGGTGAGTGCTAAGTCTCCCCTTTGTGAAGGTAGGAGATAGGGTCTGGCTCTACTGATCACTAATCCTAAGGGTTAGTCCCACACCACAAATTCCATGCAAGAGATGTACATAGTAGGTGGCACTTTGCAGAATAAAAGACATTAAAAAGCTCAGTCTTACCACGTAGTTCCTCCATGTGAAAGAGTAACTCTGGAAGTTGTCTATCCGTCAGATCTTCCGTCGCTTTAGACTTGCCTTTGTGCTGGGGAGGGTTATCATGATGCCGGATAAGCCAAACCACTTCATCTCTGGCGTAACACAATCCCATAAAGACATACAGAGCCTAAAGAAATACATCGATATTTGATAAGTCCAGATGTTGAGAGAAGCCATAAAATAATGTTTTCATATTATACGCACCTTGGGTCCCAACAGTCCTGGTTGATCGGTCATGATGAGTGCCATCTCTTTTAATGCGGTCCGATAAAATTTTCTCCTCTCACGGTGCATCAACGCTCTGCACGATACAAAAATTTAAATTGATGGAGTTATTGGATAAAACATTACACACAATTTTAAGAATCTAGTTTTTCTTTTTTCAGCTCCTATATATGAAATGCAATCACCATGTTAGTTCTGTACACATTTTTAGATACATGCTCTGCTAACCACATAACCAGGCATAAAAATCAAAGCTATGAAATATCAAATATCCGCGACAAATAACATGTCCTTTAATGATTGACGCATTTTAATAGATAAATTGGATGAGTAAATGAATACTCACGCATTCTGAACAGCATAAGTGTACGCGTCCTTCACTTCCGAAATTCTCTTATTGTATCCCTTGATCGTGTCGAAGAAACCAATAACATAAGAATGGGTGTGGAGAACCTCATCCCGGAACAACGTCACCACCCAGGACGACCGCAATGCTGACAGCCACATTTCATCCGCCGGCGATTGTTGAGAATTTAGAACGTGATGACAGAGGAGAAACCCAACTACAAAGAAAATTACAGAACTTATTGCATTTCTCAAATTGGTGATAGGAATTGGTGTATGTTTATACAAATTATCCATCGTTCCATCAAATCCAGGGATAAATATTCGCACGGAGTTGTATCCGTCCTTGCTGGGATCAGCAAATATCCTGGTTGGGCGGTGAGACTAAGCATTTGTTTTTTCCTATCATTAAAGAGACAAGGTTAGTAAATAACTTCACATTCGTCGTCGTAATGTCAAAATCGTAAAATCACCTCAACGTATCAGCATCCAAATTTCTCCTGAGGTAAATATTCTGCAGAGAAATAAGTGCACGGACGAGGAGTTTATTGTGTGGACCAAATTCGTCCGAGAGTTTTTTTAAGGGAGGATCATACTCTAAAATCATCTGTCCAAGTCTTGGGAAACTGGAGTCACTAGATTAAAATAAATTTAAATTAAGTCGATGAGTTGTACAAATATTTAAACAAAGAATTTAGCGTACGGCGAGTTATTTGCCATTTCATGAGCTACGTGAAACAGGCCCAGAACAGCCTTACGATCTTCAACACGCGAGAGCAGAACCATTAACGTCACAAAAGTAACAACTAGGTCCAAATATCCCTTGGTCAAGTCAAAGTTTAGGGTCTACGGAATAAGGATCAAATTATAAAACAAATACAACTTAATTCACTTTATAGATTCAATTCCAATACTCACAATATCAAGTTCTACTTGACAGGCGTCCATTATTGTAAAAAGTTCGGATACGTGGTCCTTGAAATCCAACAAGTCCACAAATGTATAATAGTACAACTGCAACGTCTTGTTAATCTCTGCCCGATAGTGTCCAATATTTTGTACCTGACACAGACAAAAATTAGACATTTTACTTTTCGCCATATTTTATACTAGAAAATTAATAACGCTAATTAATCTTTACTTGTTTAATGTCGATGTTGGGAAACCTCTTGATAATATGTTTAATTGACGACTCTAGAGTTTTTTCCGATAAGAAGCCGGGTTTTGATTTTGCATCTCCACACGCCTGAATTAATCGGAAGTATTAACAAACAGTAATTAGGTAAGCTTATTTAGCCTAAACTATTATCATTTCTACTTTACCTTTTTGATGTTATACAACCGGGTAAGCAATCCAACCCCCCGGTCGTTAAGAATTGTCAGTTTTTCAGCCAACTTTTGGACTTGGACGTCCATTTTACTAGAGTTCTTATTATATTCGATTCTCCTTTTAGATTTAGAATACGGTGTCCACACTTATACACAAGTCGCAACCAACTTCTTAGTCATAAATGGTGAATATAACACAACTTAACACAAGTATTGACAGTCTAAAATAAGCCGACTGTTGATGGCACACCCAATCCAACCCAGGCATTTAATCAATCCTTGTCCAAGAGAGACTGCTTTAAACACTTTGTGTCAATTTATGTACTGTGGTCTGACACCTAAACAAATGGTAGTACAATTAGGCAGATGACATGAAATGTTAATGTCAAATGTACTGAATGAGATGAGAGAATGTGATGACTGAGAAGTAAAGGAAGCAGACTCACCCCAACCAACAACTCGGCTCTGTAAACAACACAGTTCCAGATTCCCCTACAGTGTAGGTGAATACACACTAAAATCATAGCGTTACTTGCACCATTTACTTCTTTTACGAGTTAGTTAATTTATGTAGCTAAATGTGCATTATTTGCATTTACATTTTATTTCAGATCCCAGTTGTTTGATTCTTGACGAATGAAATTAATAAAATTTTCCTCGCTTAAAGACAATTATAACAAACAAAATTGATTTATTTAGTTTACTATGGTTCACATAAAAACAAGCTTCATAGAAAATTTACGAAATAATTAATTGTTTAAGGTCAGACGAAGGTAAGTTTAATCTAATTCTACTGCACACACACGATATACAAGACATGTAATCTTATGTTGTTTTAAAATAAAATAAGAATCGGTTATGGTTTCCAAAGTTTTAGAGTGGCGTCCTCGCTGTATGTACAAATCAAGTTTTGGTGAGGATGATGGTTAATTCCAATCACATCTTTATCGTGAACCTTTAGAGTTGAAAATCAAATATGTAAACAATCAATGAAGAAGTCAAATGTGCACAATTTTGTATCTCACCGTCAATGTTCTTTCCAGTTTTCCAGTTGCAACGGAAAAACAGTAGAGAACTTTGTCCTCCCCAACGCAATAAATCCACTCTCCACGGGGTGAAATAGTAGCACAGACGAAATCTCCTCCTTCTCTTTTACCACTTGTAAATGACTTGACAATCTGAATACATATGGGAAATTATTTAATTAGAATACATATTGTGAATTCAATAGATTGCTTGCTTGTAAAATGCAAATATAAACATACCTGTCCTTGCATATTCATGATAACAACTGTGTTTGATCGATTACAGACAACAAAATGATCTGGGTTCTTTGGAAGGATGGCAATCGTATTTATCGGAATATCAACAGCTCCAGTCCCACCCAGCGATTTGAATGTATGGATGGCTTCAGTGCCTTTCATTCCCCAAATTTTAATGGTTCCGTCTGAGGACGCGCTGATAATGTTGTGCGTGTCTTGAGTGAATGCCAACTCATTTACGAATGAGGTGTGTCCTCTCCATTCTTTGATGCACTTTCCTGATTTCAATCCGTGAAGCCGAATTGTATGATCAAATGACGAACTGACAACTTGACTGTTATCCTTGGAAAATTGCATGGCTGTTACTCCTTTTGAATGAGCCTTTTCAAATCGACGAAGGCATTGTCCAGTGGCTATTTTCCAAATCTTGATTTTTCCAGCTCCTGATCCTGACGCTAACATTTCGGAATCTCTGCTGAATGTGAGGCAAAGAACTGGTTCTTCCATCATCATATAGTTATCCTTAATAGGAACAAGAAAAAACATTCAAGTTACAAATTAACTAATTTTAGCTTTGCTTATTAATTGATTAACAGTAGTAAGTAACCTGAGCTTGGTATTTGAGATCCTTTCGAATTTTTCCCGTCGTAAAGTTCCAAACTTCAATAAATCCGTCTACCGAGCCTGACACGAGATATTGCCCATCTTGAGAGAATTTTGCACATTCGACATGATTTTTCTGAGTAAACTTGATTTGTTTGACCATCTGAGTTGGATATCTCTCATCTTCCTGCTCCTTCATTGATGCTTTCCCACGGAACAAATCAATTGCAGTGCCAGGAGGAAGGAGTCCTTGGTGTTGCTGCCACTTTAATGCTTGTGCCAACAAGGCCAACAATCTAGACGGTGGAACGACAGACACTTCGCCAGATAATGCTTGGGCGATTGCAGCTCGTCGTTTTTCCTTCCCACTCCCTTCCAAGTATGCTTCTCGAGGATCAAAATATGACCTTGCCAGTAGGTTTTCTGGAGAGTAACCAACCAGTATAACATACGCTTCATTAAAACAACTATGTCAATTATTTACCCAAGTGCATATATCGCTCCGGCTCGCTTTGTTTCATCATGATCATAGGATCAGTTTGTCGCAAAAGGGACCTAGCAGCACCCAATTCTCGCAACTCGATCAATTCGATAACAACCTACATATTTAAACAAATTACTACTTCGCATACCATTTATTGCTTGAATAAATAAAAAGTTTTAGTCACCTGCTCATAAAGATCAATCAACTTTTTGTCGGGAAGTTTAAGGGACTGCGTCACTTTAAGAACAATGTCCCAATGTCCATTTGTAATATCTGCAGAAAAACTCTCCACGCTGTCTACCGTATTCAATGAGACTCCTGTCTCCTCCTGCATCGCCTGAAGACTCCGTTGCAGATTTGATTCTTTTAAAAACTGCTGAATAAGACGAATAATGCTGCGAAGAAAAAAGACAAAATACCACATTTACAGGGTCATTATTACAGCTATTTTAGACAGTAGATAACCAAACAAGTAAACTACTTTTGACAGGAGGGTTTGGAAAAAAGATGCGTCAAACAAGTAGCCTTAAAGATATATGAAAAGTGATCAATTCGTAAAAACGGCGACTTAGACTAGGTAGCTAGAAATCTGGGGAACATATAACATTTTATTTTTGAACAAATAAATAAAATAAATTCACAAACGCGCATAAAATTATAAGGTTTTGCTTCTGAGCATTGCACATCAAGGCAATTAAACGTTTACAGACTAAAATAACTTACTCAGTAGATTCAATTTCGATCGACATCTTGCCAGATTCCGGTCAAACCGCTCCTTTGAATAATTATTTAACTGCAGCGAAAAATAGTCGCGTTTCCGAGCTTTCACTCCTGGTTAAAATTTTCACTTCCAAACCCTGTAAACCGGAGAAACCAAGTTCAATTGGCGGGGCGACCACCTCTCACCTTGCCCCAGCGTCCGGGTGAATGGATGGTACATGCACTGACTCCCACAACCGCACCCTCTCGTCACACCCACCTCGATTCCCACCTGAACCCGAATGAAGGTTGTGACCTTTTTACCGTGGGCCGGTGGATGACCCCTCAAAACTTGCGCACCGGATTTGATTGGCACACGTCTGCCGAGTAGAATAGAAACCACTGGCAAACAGTAGAAACCACAGCTCGCCGTCTCTCATCTTTCAGGTCCCGGCTGATTCATTTCTCATTCTCTTCCGTGTTCTGTTGCTGACTGCTTATCGTCGTCGTAATATTTTAAAAAATACGTACGAAGAAGTAAGTAGATCAAGCGGAACTGCTCAAGAAGGAATAGAAATGGACGCGAGAAAGAAACGGATCGTACTCGGGATTTTGGAGTTCTTGGGGGAGGAGTATAATCTCGCATCGACAAGTACGGATGCAAAGGAGAGTTTGGAAGTCGCCTTGCAATGCTTGGAGACAGCATTTAGCATTGGAAGTCAGGATCGGCAGCAATCTCCAGGTCACAAGACACTGCGACAGTTGTATGACGAGGCGGATGGGGCTCGCGGTGGTGGCGATACGCCGGCGAATGACACCATGTATTTGGTGAGTAACTGTTTTTAACAAAAAGTTCAAAGTTTAGTTATTCATTCATGGTTTACATAATTTGTGGATTTATATATTTTAGGGTATCGACATTGGGCCAGAGTACCCTCTTCCAGCAGAGGCCACGGAAGAGCAGAAGGCTCAAGCTGAAGAGTTCAAGACTCGTGGAAATGATGCCATGAAGAACAGTAATTACAGCGATGCCATGGGGAATTACAACAGGTGAGGTTTTACCTTTGTCCTTTTGCACTTGGTTATAATTTGTACACACTGTATGATTCGATATATTCATTTATTCAGGGCTGTTGAGCTGGATGGGCGAAACTCTGTCTATTTTTGCAACCGTGCTGCTGCTGCAATGAAATTAGAACAATTTGACCAATCTTTAAGGGATTGCCAAATTGCGATTCGTCTCCAGCCAAAGTATGCTCGTGCGTATGGAAGAATGGGGTAAGTAGTAGTGCATGTTGACAAATTTGGAACTTTTCTTAGAAAAATTCCAATAAAATTAAAATTCCAATTTTTTGTTTCATTTTACAGTGTGACTTACTCAAGTCGAAATATGCATATCGAGGCTATCATGTGCTATAAGAAGGCTTTAGCTTTGGAACCCAACAACGAGAGTTATATGACTAATTTGCGTTATTCTCAATCCATGATCGCACAACAAGCAACACAGACTGAGGCTGCGGCAGCTGAACCTAACAATCCTATGGGCGGATTAGAGAGCATGATGAGGAATCCGAACCTTGTGAATATGGCTTCTCAAATGCTTCGAGATCCGGCTATGAACAATATGTACGAAAAACAAAGATAGTTCTTTATAAAAAAGTTTTTATAATTTGCTTAAATTGAAGGATTCAAAATTTGATGGGAGGTCTGATGAATCCAAACTCAGCCGCAGCCCCACAACAGCAGCAACAACAACCAACTGAGGCTGCTGCTCCACCACAAATGCCTGGATTACAGGATTTGATGATGATGTAAGAGATCCTACGGATTGGGACGTCAATTCATTTTTGTGTAAATACGTAATGATTTATGATATTTCACTTTTTCGTTCTGCAGGGGACAGCAGATTGCTAATACAATTCGTGCCAATAACCCACAACTTGCTGACGAGTTGAACTTAAATATTGGAAATCCACCCAATTCTCGCAATCCAGATAACCACGATAACGCTCCAGAGTCATGAATATATTAACAGTTCTCTATACCTAAGTGCATACATAATGAATATGTTCGTATAAATATAAATATAATGTCCAAACTTAAAATTGTCTAAGTCTAATATTCAATGAGATTGAACCGTTTTTGCTAAGTTTATCTCAACAGCATGGATCAGATCAGTCATGACTCGTCAATCAGCCTAATTTGATAAGAAAACCTTTATTATCCGAATGTCTCTTACGATATTACGATTAAAAATGTCATCTCATTATCATGTGTTTTTTAAAATAATTTTTAGCCATCCATCATCATGATAATCTTTTCCAAATTTTTTTATTTCCATAAATATACATTTTTCAAATGTTATAATGACGGCAGAGTAAAATCTGTCGTGACGTGATCAAGTTAAAATAAAAGTGGTAAATTTGAGAAGTCAATTTATATACTAAATTTGTATTTCCTATATAATTGTGTAGACCAGCTTGACTCGAGCCTTGTTTGCAACTTGTTAATATTAACCTTTTGCAACCAGACACTGATTTACGACTTCAATCAGATGCGAGTTTTCAAGTGCGGCGGCCTGTAAGGATATATAAGTAAAATAACCACATCTCGTAGACGATTAATTGCATTAAGGTACTTACAACTCTTTCTTTGTCGGCCAACTGTTTATTGATTGCAACTTCGGATGCGTGCGTTCCTGAAATACAACGCAATACAAGTAAAGTAACACAAAGGAAAGGATGGCTTTGGAAAACTTTCTCAATTCCTTTACCTTGACTAATGGCGACATCCACCTTGAACCTCTCTGGGAGTGATCTGAGAAGCTGGACTCGAATGCAAAGTCCGATAAGGGTCGCTAGCGAATAGACATAACAATATTAAATATTAGGGCAAGAACCAAAATTTAGTAGTGAATTTATTCACTTGTACAAGTGACAAACAAGTGAATAAATTCACAGAATTTTTACCCATGCTGCAATGTGGAATCGTTGGAGTGAATTCAATGCGCACCGTCTCCTCCTCGTTGTCCACCTAGATAACAATGAAAATTTCATTATGAAATTGTCAGTAAGACAGCAAACAAAGTATTAAACCAAGGTCAAAAAAGGTATTAAACTCACAAAGCACTTATCCTGTTCGACAACATTTAGCTCTTCCAGCGTGAGTGGGTGTTCCGGGTCATTTATGTCTCGAATCATGTCTGTACAAACAAAACATATAACCAAAACCAATCTTGATTAAGTTAAATGAGGTTTAATCTGTTTTATATTATATCTCACCAAAAACTTCTCTGTTATCAATCTCGTCTGCCACAGCATCATTTTTATCAGTCACTGTGACCACACGAGTCTCCACCTTTGCCCGGATTCGAGGGTTGGCGTTGTCCATGTCTGACCTTAAAACAGCTTAAAATGTAAAACTTTAAAAACGGTCACCTCGCACGTGAAATCGACAAGGAAACTTTACGAAACTGCGACGTGAGGAATGTTTTTCTTTCAATGTACAAACCTCCCTCGTGCTCGTTCGTTCGGGGCACCGTGAATTTAAGGCAATCCGGTGATTTGACAAGCAGATACACTTTTTATGCTTGACGATCCAATATTTATTACTCATCTGTTTTTTAAAGTTTGTTGTACAAATCACATCAAACCTTGAAATCGGCCTATTAATTAGAATAAACATATACTGCTTGTGTCACAATCCGGGTTAAGATAGAAGCAGACTACGCCAAAATTCAACAGTTGATTGATACTTACTTTACCTTGAACCTGTGCTTTATAAAATCGCCCAACTAAACTTAACTACTACACTCACACCACACACATAATCAAAATGACGGTCATGGAGTTTTTTGGCTGCACTTTCATCGCGTTTGGACCACCGTTTGCGCTTTGCTATTTCACCATCGCGCACGACCCAGTCAGAATTATCATTGTCATCGCGAGGTAACTATTACATATTTAGTTATTCGATTCACAATTCCATTCAATAAGAGATATAATTAAAGCAATGGATTAATCTATGTTGTTTTTTGTAGTGCCTTCTTCTGGCTCCTTTCTCTCCTGTTGTCATCTTCATGGTGGTTCGCTATAGTCCCTCTAAAGGAAACGTTGGAGTTTGCCCTCGTATTCTCCGTGATATTTCAAGAGGTCTTCCGCTACCTCATTTACCTCATCCTTCGAAAGGCAGAGGGTGGGTTGAAAAAGGTCACAGAGTCGGACACTGCGCTTATTGATAATAAACACATCCTTTCTTATGGTACACCATTAATATCCAACTCCATCTTGCTCTCTATATATCAAAATATACGTACTAATTATATTATTCTGGATTAGTTGCTGGCCTGGGATTTGGAATCATGAGCGGAGCCTTTGCTCTCATCAACGTCCTTGCTGACTCTGTGGGACCTGGCACCGTAGGAATTCGTGGTGGTGGAGATTCGCCAATATTTTTGGTCACGTCGGCTCTCATTACGCTCGCCTTTATTCTCCTTCACACGGCTTGGAACGTCATATTCTTTGATGCTGTTGACAAACGGAATTACTTTTTGATCGGGACTGTTGTCGCCTTTCATTTTGGGGCATCATTTTTGGTAAAAGAAATCACATATTAATATGCACATACATAAACGATAAATGATTATATTTAATAAATTTATTTATGAATTATTCAGTGATAAATATTCATTTCCAACTAATTTGCTAATTTATAGACGCTGTTCAATCGTCATCACATGTACTGGGCGTCGATCCCTCCCATCTATGGAATTTTGATACTTAGCGTATGGCTAGCATTGCGAACGGCTGGGGCCAAGATCAACATGAAGGAGCTGTTAAATCGACACCCGGTCACGTTGCATGTCGCTGAATGAGAAATGTGCAGCGTAGGAGGAAATCCCGCGCACCGCCAGCCAATCAACAATATTATGGACTGATAATGCTATTTGTTAATTTTGTTCTTTGATATCCATCCAATTTCTGAGAGAGGTCATCTTATTCCCACGCTATACAAAATAGTCAGGATTTAATTTTCAATACAACAACCGCATATATGTAATAATAGATAACATAATAACTCAGAAGTCATTTTGAAATGTGATGTCTAATGAAGAAAAAACTCATAATGCTTTTTATCCTATCATTCTTTTTGTTAACTTTTACTATTTATGCTCTAAACCATATTTATTTAATACATATATATGTATGGAATAATGAGAAAGGGTATGGGATAAAATTATCCTGTGAGCCAAGGGAATGGGGTTGTATAGTAATAATAGCATTATTATTATGTATTAATTACTGTACGGGTTAAGAGTCTGAATATATCGGGGTAAAACTTGTTAAAGCACTACAAAAACTAAATGTAATATAATGTAATATACTTTAAAAAAACTTACCAACTGAAGACGCATTCTTTAATCTTTGTCTCAAAATATTCTGCTGATAGTGTCCAGATACCTGCATTATGTAAACCCCAGTCACTTCAAAATTTGCACTCATTACTGATATGCAGGTGCTCACAAAAGTGCTCGTATTACTAAATGCGAGTAGTTTGTACGAGACTAATAGTTAAGAAATATATGTCAAGTACCAAGCAGTTTTTTCTACATTATAAAAATGATGTGATAAAAATAAGAAAAAAAGTAGTAGTAGCAGTTAGCAGTGCAGTAGTAGTTATTGAGCTGTTGGTAGTTTTGCGTATTTATTGTGTGCCAATAAATCATTATTGTTCATAGCAGTAGCATTATTATTACTTTTATAAATAACTATAACATTTTCTTGCCTGTTAAAACCATTTAAGAATAATAATACGTTTTTTATATTACAAAGATACGGTGATTTCTTGTATAAAAATCAGGCACATTTCTTTGGAATGTAAAATACATACTCGTTGATAAAGGATTGCATGAGATTATGGTTTTGTTAGTGAGCAAAAAATGGTCAAACTTGGCCGACATGGTTTTAACGTTATAGAGCCGATACAAATTTTGGTCATGTCACGAACGAACAAATTTGGAATTACGAGCGTTTGAAATTATAATATGCACTTGATAAGCGTGAGATTCTGGTTACAAATTTATAGAGCAGCTATTTTGTACGACTAACAATAGCAAAGTCTCTATACAAAATCCCATCCGGAGGTCGAGCGGATTTTACGCGTCGCACCAGATTGTCCCCTAGTTTGAAGTAGTCCACGGCCATGGGCATTTTTGCGGTTGGTATTCTGCACATTAAATAATCTCTCAATTTCTAAATTTTACTTATAGATTTTACAAAAACAATGGGAAACCCACCGGTTTGGTCTTCTCGGAGGGGCACAGTCCACAACTATTTCGCTCTCAATTTCATCAATGGCCCTCCTAAGGAGCGAGGTGAGCAGTGGATCCGTCGATGGAGGGATGTAGTCTCGTGTCCTCCTCTGCGGAAGTTCGGGGTGCAACTGGAGAATGTTTTCGTTGGAATAGTGGACGTTTTTCACCATGATGACCTCCCCTCTGTCAGAAATGTTGAAAAGGGGAAGAACCATGGCCCGGTCGACGGGAGGTCGTTCTAAGGCATTCGAAGCATCTATGGGGGCCAGTCTATAGCTCTGCTCAGCCTCATCCCACCGCATCCGCTTTTCCATAAGTTTCCGGGACGAGAGAGGGATAAAGTTGTCAATGATAACGTTTTTTAAGGCGAACTCTCTGCAAATTCATAAATTCAATTTAGTAAGGAAAAATAAACACATTGTGTTTAAAATAAATAAAAAAACTCACTTTTTAAGCTCCATCAACATTGTCTCTAGTTCCCTCATGTTTGAGGAATGATTGTCGTGCGCCTTCTCGGTCTCATCTTTAAGGGATGTGCATCTGTTAGTGAGCTTCTTGTATTTGCGCGACTTGGCTTGAAGTTCATTCTCGAAGGCGTCCGCATTCACTCTGAGTTCTTCCATCGTCAACTCTTCTTCCTCCAAACGCTTCCTCATCTCCTCGTAGCGCTCCAACTGCTCCGCCAATTCGGCCTGTTTCGACTGCAGGAGTTTCTTCTGCTCGTTCGTATGGTCGACGAGATCTTTTCCCCCGGTCAACACCTTGCTTTCCAACCACCCGATCCGCTCGCTCAGTTTGGAACATTCCTCCTCCGTGTTCCTTACCAGACTCTCAGTTTCGTCCAACTTCCCCAGCAGCATGTCCTTCTCCACCTTCATGGTCAAGTTGTCCTGAAGGAGTTCTTTCCTCCGCTCGGCCAACTTCTCCATGATGACACTTGGGTCGGTGGTGGGGTCAAGGCCGTAAGGTTCCAACATGGCGGCCAGTTCTCTAAGACGCTCCTCCTCCTCAGCACTGACCTCTTCAGAAGTGGGGCGATCGGGATCAGATCGTTGTTGATTAGATTTTCTTTGTCGGGGTTTTGTTGGATCAAGATTATCAGATTGGTGAGCATGATGCGTACTAGTTTGGCGAGCCTTTTTCTGCTCCAATTCGACACGAAGGCGTTCAATTTCCTCTTGATATTGGCGTAACAAGGCGTCCTTTGGATCCTCGTTGACTTTTGGCTTATTTTTAATTTTCTTGGCCCGAGAGGCATATCTAAGCGTGGTGATGGTCTCCTCCCAGTTGAAGCTGGCAGGTCCTATCGTGGCCACCATGATTGTACGAGAGTTTCCGCCCAAGGAGTCTTGGAGGAGTCGGGTCAACTTGGAGTCTCGATAAGGAATGTGGGTTGATTTGGCATCCACGAGAGCAGCAATGACATTTCCGAGTGCTGAGAGGGACAAGTTGATCTTGGTCGCTTCCTTGAATCTGTCCCCGACCGCACCAGTTTTCCCTTGTCGTTCAGATCCTGCCAGGTCGACAAGGTTGAGCTTACCCACTTTAAAGTGGTTCCGACCATCGGCCCACTTCTCGGACATTTCAATCGTGACCATGAAAACTGTGTAACAAATTTGTATTTATATTCGATTATTAGTACATATTTAGTGTAAAGACTATCAAAAAATGTATTTAAATTGTGGTTCGACTCACGAGCATGGGAACGAGAGCTGTGTTCATTCATGTTGGTAGCACCCACGGCTCGGTTTTTGTTCCCTCTCGTCATGAGGTCGTTGATTTCACTCAAGTTGCTGCACAAGTGGGTTGAAAGGTCTTTAACGTAGACCCCGCTCGTGGGATTTTCGCGGAGCTCGCGCTGCTGCTTCCGGTCTTTGCTGAGCAGGTCGCGGATGTCTTCTTGGTAGATTTCGAGATAGGAGGCGCGGATGAGGTATTGCTTCGTCGAGTTTTCAGCTACGTGGGCAAATATGTGGCGAAAGGTGTTGGGAATGACGCCGTGTTCGGACTCTTTTTCTCGTACACCTGGAATTATTTTCGTCACGATTCCATATATTGTTGATATGCATACCTATATTACACTAATTATTAGCTCACCTTCCATCGTATACGTCTTCCCGGTCCCAGTTTGACCATAGGCGAAAATTGTCCCGTTGAAACCTTGCAGAACAGAATCCACCAAGGGAGCAAATGCTATATTATACAAGTCTAGTTGCGAAGTTCTATAAAGAGAAGACCCAAATTAGCTCTTAATCTTACTACTTTTTGTACTATTTGTACTACTATTTGTCAATATCCCTCACCGAGCATCAAATACGGCATCAAACACAAAAACCTTGGATTCTGATATGTCCCCAGCGTTAGATTTTAGGCGTCTGACCTCCACCTCGTTCCGGTCAGGATGAACTTGAACCACGCTAGTCGTGCACAAATTATGCATCACAATGTGAGTATATTTGACACAATTTAAGCTCAAAATATTAATTACCTCTCATGCCCCTCAGTCTCTTCTTTCTCACTCAACGGACGACTTCTGATGACGACCTTGACTCTTTCGGAGGCGCCAGAACTACGCCCTTGTATCACACCTGCACCAACACTACCAACACTTGTGCTCTCTTCCATCTTTCCGGCCGACCGTTCTATAGTTGATGTCGTCGTAGGGTTAACTTTATTCGGTTGCATAGTCGTTACAGGTACTGCGACGTCGACCTCATCGCCCACGGCGGATGATGGTGGGAACTGGACGGGAGAGACGGGTCGACCCGTGGAACTGTAAAAGTCCTTGGTGGGGTCGATAGCGATGGGTTTGATGAGGAGGGCAGCCTCGGGTGGTGGCGTCTCGTCCATCAAACTAACGTCATCCTCACTGTCCCCACCCCCCACCATCATCATCTTCTTCTTCTCATTGAGTGTGTTCATCTTGGTCACCTCGTCACTCTTTCCTCGTTGTTGTTGTTGTTGATTTCGTTGTGGTTTCACTTTCCCGACTTCTTTGGGAGGTTTTCGTACCGGAAGTGTTTCAGAGTCCATCGGTGAAGAATGACCACAATGTGAGAGGAGAGAGATGGGGACTGCTTAATGAAATTGACTTCAACTCTTCAAAATTCTAGGCAATAATAAATGAATGGTATTTATACAATTTGTCCAGATGTGCGTCACAGTGTGGAGAAAACTATTTCCATGGGGGTGAAATTGACATTAAATTGTTAAGATTACTTACAGTAATGATGATTCTCTTTCCCAATGCATTTTTGCCTACTCCGCCAGACCACTAATCAACTTTGAAAACTATGAATTTTTGAATTATGTGTGGATATCTTTACGTTCACGGTAAGACCAATCAATTTAGGTTAGATTTTAGATTAGACTTGCCCAATTAAATTTTCTTAACTAAAGTGGTCCAATTTTGACAAGTCCAAGAATAAGTTGGATCAACATTGTCCACATGATTGTTCGATTTTATCGATTCTCTTTTTCTACCCGGGTATTCCAATTCCACAGACTGCTAGACTACCCGGATTGTGCATTACTCGGGTATGAAGAATTGTAATACAGAGACCTTGGTAAACTCATAGCTTAATTTTCTCTTACTCGGTGGTTGTTGTGACTCTGAAAACTCCTGCAGCATGTCGTTCCAGTCCCGTTTTCATGTTTTGTTCCACTTTCCCTTTCCACTTTCTCTCCACACTGCTCCGTGTGCAGATGTGTGCTGTGCATGTACATTAGTGTACACGTGATGATAGCGAAAAGTCTCAAGTTTCATCAGCCAAGGCTATCAAGTTATGTCAAAACTTGACGCTGCATTTCACCCGAAACCGTCTAAAATTAGTCTTCCCCGTAATTTGGAGCGTTTATAAAAGGAAATTCGCAAGGGCGATGTCTTCCTTTCATTTCATGTTACGAACGAACACTAATTCTAATATCACAATCTTCATCGTCCATACATTTGAGCTATTTGCGTCGCAATCGCCCAATACTACCAGAACCAGCACTATTGCCCAACTTGTAGTAGAACCTACAACACGACGTCGACATCGACGACGACCCAGCCTTGTTGCATGTCCGGCAAAATGAGAAAACACGGACCACTTATTTTCTAATCAATTGATACTCTCTCATACTTTTGCGAATTGGGAGAGCTTGGAATTCATTAAAGTGAAATGTTGGAGGAAGCTAATTTTATTCATGCCTGGCCCCAAGGCAGTGGCTGAAACTGTTTGATGGATAGCTGACCAGGACGTAATCGTGCGTAAATGAGGGGTTCCAAGGAGCTGCAACTCCCACCTTGGGCTCCATTTACTCACATACGTACTTCTTTCCTCCCTCGTTTCGCCAACTTCTTTTTGGGAGAAAGGGAAAAAATCCAATCAAATATGGAACGGACCTTTAAAGTGCATACAGCTTATTAACCAACCACAAACCCACACCAAGTTTGGTTCATGGGTGGAAAGTGGGGAGAGAAAAAATAATAATAATTCTCTCCCAGCGGTGGTGCCGCATCAGTTATTAGTTCGTTGGCCATGTTTTCATAAGATGATATGATGGCAGATGAGTGAAAGTAGCAGGGGCGATAGTGTCAATCACGTCCATTGGGTGCGCCTATAGCCCGTCAATCCTCATTCTCAGTGTCTCCCCGTTCCATTTCATTTCATCCTCTGCTCCTGCTCTTGGTCTGGTTCTTTTGTTCCTTTCGTCTCCCAATCACTGTCCGGTCGGTCGGGGGAGTTGTCAGACAGATTTCCGCGAGTTGACGATGGATAGCTGCTGCTGTCCAAATTAAATTAATTGCATCTGTCAATGTTATTCCTATGGTCGGATGCAGAGAGCGATTCCTCTGATCCATCCACCTTTTCAAAGATCCTCGTACGTACAATAACTTTTACGACATTTATAAGGGCATAAAATGTAAATTGGTAGGAACTGGGGGGAAGGAGAGGATGCAGGTATTTATGAGGTTGAGATGCACGTATTTATTACAGGTTGGGTCACCACCACGCCAACCTGAGGCAGGTTATTATCGTAATGTAGCAGCAGCAGCAAGCTTTTGATCGCATTAAAATAAACTGAGACAAACCCGGATTTTTCATGGCATGTGGTGGCAGTGGTAGTACTACGACTGGTTCATCGGAATGCTGATAAGCTGAAAGAACAAACACAGTCAGTCGTCGTCGTCGTTTTCGTCGTCAGAGAGTGCAATGCAGCAACTTCAGCCACGAGCGTTATTTCACAACTGTTTCCACATTGGAGTAAGTCACTCACTTAGTCAAAAAAGAACGCTGTACTGGGACGACGACGACAACGACGACGACGACGCTGCTGCAGAATAAAAGTAAAAAGAGTTGGACCACAAGAGCCAAAACACGGCCGGGTTATTGGTAGGAGCACACCACACTTTTATTCCGTACCGCAGGAGGAGGATAAGACGGGCATTCTGTACACTTTACACGGCAAGAAGCAGCACATGCTCACTTTTCCCCTCTCGTTCTACTCTACTCTCTCTTTACCCGTTTTGCCGGTGAAGCCAGGGTTTTTCTTCCCATTTATCAGTGCTCTCGTGGAACTTGAGCCAAGTAGAAGCATCATCTCATCGCTATCCTCCTCGTACACAGCTTTCCTCTTCAGCCGCGTCTCCTACTTGTTTGTGCATTGCTTCTCATTCGAGAGATACAAGAAAAAGAAAGACAGCAAGAAAGTTTGTAGCTCGTGAACTTGGAGAAAGTTGACAGAGTCATAAAACAAACCAAAGCTAGATACACTACTACTCTGTTACTACGACTACTACGTTCTGTGTGTGTGTATGTCATTGTCAAGCAGTTACCTTGATCTCAACTTGGTCTTCATCATTGTGCAACTAAACTATTTTCTAAAGAGAAAAAAAGGTGCTCTCCTTCCTTGTTTGTGTGTTACTTGAGAATTACTATTTGCCACACGGCTCACTCACCCCGTTGTATCGTAGTAGTTGATGATGAGACTTGCTAACTTTCCCTTCCGGTCTCACTCATAATGAGGGAGTATCATAATAATAATAATGTGAGCAACTAGTACCCCAGTCATTCATTCAGTCAGTCATCACCACGACCAGCACTATACCTACCGGACGACGTAATGGGGAAAGATTACCAAAGTTTATAATGAGCATTTCTCACGCATATTATAAATGCAACCACGCCTGGCAGATAAAGAGTGTGTGTGAAAGAGAAAGTCGTGTCGGGGAAAGTGAGACCCTTGGTGCTATTCTTCTCGTAGGGCTGTTTTACACACAAGACGACGCTGCAGCTGTGGAGGACACACAGTGAGAAAGTGACAATTAGTTCTCACTTAGTTCACCCTTGAGTTTATAATGGGCGGAGGCGTCCTCACACAAGTTAAGTTTCACACAAGAACAACTGTGACACATTAGAAGAAGAACTAAACTTTGTCCACATTGCCGTCTCGTTGTCGTCGTCGTCTTCGTCGTCGTCGTCGTCTTCGTCGTCGTCGTCTTTTCTTCCTGTGGAGAGTGTGTCATTTCTTGGACCAAGTGAGTTTTTGTCCCTTTGTTCTGCACCGCTAGCAAGTAAGTTTGCACTACCTATAGCTCATCACCACTTTAGGAAAGCCCCAAAGTTTTATGTTAATGCCGTGCCACGAGAGCGCAGTTGGCGAAAGTGTGAGTAGGGAGCTGTAACTCCTTCTCCTGGCAAACTTGGAGATTTCATTTTAATTAATTGTGAAGGCGTTGTAAATATGAACAAGATTAAAAGATTGGGAGGAGAGGAAAACGACAATGAGCGGTGGTGGTGGTGGTTGCTGCCCTAGTTGTGCGTGGTCGGAGGAAAGCATGATGATGATGATGACGAGGAAAGTCTTTGACCAACTTTGTATCTTTTTATGGCTGCTGATTATTTCATTACGAAATAATTCTCTTATTTCCTTCCGACGTCAATAAATCTCTCGACCTGTTCGATACTCTCTTTTTGCTCCTTGTTTTCAGTTTCCCCCAATTTTTTGGCTGCATCTCTTTCACTCCGCATTCTCCATCATTTTATGACATTATTTATAAAATATCTTCACGAAATGGAGGGAATAAGATGCGAACGAGTGCGTATAACAGCAGCCCAAGTGAACAAGGTCATGCATACGAAACACCTGATGAAGACAAAGTAGGAGCCGTGTGATGGTGCATAATGGCATGCATATGATGATGTTGTTGGTATTTAGTAGGAAAGCATTTCGTGGTGGAGAATTCGGTTAGTGAGTTGACAATCTCTGACGACGACGAGGGTGATAAATATGGGGACTAGAATTAGAATCAAAATCAGGGCAGTCACACAAAGTAGATGTGTGTGTATCATCATCATCACCAGCATCATCACGGCTACATAGTCGAGGGTATACATACATAGTATTGAAATCTTCATCTCTCGACCATAGCCTACTTCTTGTCTTTTGGCAAATGTCAGCAATTCCGAACCTCGTCGTCTTCGTCGTCGTTCTACTTCATTCAGCCAGCGAGACAGATGAGGATGAGGAGGTTACGTTTAGTTTATGTGCCAAATATTCGAGTGGGGTTATTGTTTGAGTGTTGTTAAATTGTGGGCGTGGTTGCCCTTGTCTGGTCCTCGTACAATAAGTCCTCTCCACTGAATGGGCCACGTCCTTTTTTGCCCCTTCAAACATCAATATTAAGAATGACATGGCCAGTATTTCTCATCAAAGGTGCCTCCTCTCCCGTAGTGCATGCATACAGTTTCATCTCTTCACTTAGACAACTAAGTAACTCGAGAAAGAGTGAGTTAGTCGCTTAAAGTGGTTGGCACGGATGAGAAAGATGCAAGAATAGCACACACAACGACATCCCAGCAGCAATCCCTGGCACATTATGTATACGACACAAACAACGCACGTTATCAGCATCTATAGTTTCATCATTTCTCCGGATTCCGGATGCTTGCACCCATGGCCCGACTTGACCCTGAGTCCGGCTGCATGATGACATTCTTCTTCTCCAGCTCTTTGAAGAAGAAGCTCTTTGTTTCCACCACCACGAACCACCGAAAGCCACATTTTTCGCTGCCTTTCAGCCTCCCACTATCCATTTCAGAGGCGTTGTTGTTTCACTGATATCCACGCTAACGCAGATACATAGGCGTTGTTGCGACAAATAGAAATAAATTATTCGCTGCAGCAGCCATTCACTCGATGCGACAACTAGCAGAGTCATTTCTGCATTATTGCGATCGTCGCACCCTTTTCTCGTTATTTTTTTTCCTCTCTTTCTTCTTTTTAAGCTGGGATAGCTTAGCTTTGTTGGTGGCGTCGTGGTCCTGCTGGGAAAAAGTAGGACTGTTGACTGAACCGTAACTTCCCACAGGACGAGAGAGTACAGAACATATCAACCACATCATCATTACCATTTAATGACATCATGGTTCACATTGTTCCGGAGGAAGTGGAATTATGGTCGTCGTCGGCTGCTCCTCATTCCAGTCTAATTTTTTTCTTATTCTCAATGGAAATGACACGTAACGACAGTCATCATAAGAATGGAGGCAATAATCATAACTTTCTTCGCCTCGATACGATACCCCGTCTCGATATAATTCAAAATACTAAAAATTCAATCCAATCTAATAAGTTTCCATTCAACATTTTTATGCATTGCCAAAGTCTCTGCTCTGATCCAATGTTCACAATAAATTTCTTTACGGACACATTTTTTTTTCTCTTTCTCATGTCGACCGAGTCTTTTCCCTGGCGAGAAGCTTGGAGTGAAAATAAATTTATTTTAATTTTATTTTTATCGAGATAAATTGTATCATAGTTTTTTTTTACTACGACTTTGTTTCGATTGAAACTATTTACCAGATTATATTTAGGTCCTGACCATTTCACAAGTTCGTGTAAATTGCAATCTACGTGACCATGTCCGCCCGACTGGATTTATCATTCAACCGGATGGACAATGTCATGAAATGATAGTTCTTTATGAATATATTAACTAAATACGTGTAAGTGTGGGTCAAAGCTTCGCATCCGTCGGAGACATACTTGTGATTCAACTATATTCAATTTAAGATTGAGTTGCAAAGATTTAGTGGGGTCGACATGAAGAACTACACTGAAAAACAGTTAGTTATCCGCAGTCACAGGTGGTCATTCATGAGGCTTCAACTCTCGACTATTCACTTATTTAATACTCAAACATATAATTATTTTGTCTCGTAGTTTCCAATGTAAAATTGTCCATTCACATTTAGCCCGGCTTCCTGACATAAATTAAAAATTTAATGTTAAATTCACTCCAATTTCATCATACAACACACTGACGAGTTAGTTCAAAAGTATAAAAACAACGGTTATACATAAGTGGCTCTGAAAACTGGAAGCATAGGTAGTCCTTGCATGCATGCTTTTTTGGAAGAAAGTCGTGATTGGGTGAGCCATTTAAATAATTATGAACCTACAACCGTGAATTACTTACATTCTGATAAATTGGGTAGTTGCAACCTTCAAAGTTCGGACTATGCGGAGTTTGTGGTTATTTTGAGCCCAGCCAACGCTGCATTTTTGAAATGTTTATACCCGACCTATTACAAATTTATTTAATAAGTATTCAACTTTTATCTGAGCAAGTCACGCTATACATGCGAAAACGTACACACAAATAAAATATCACTTTGTGTCACCACTCGTGTATACTACGAGGAGGGATAATTGTCATAATTCTGGTTTTAATGAGCAGTTGGTAATCTCATTACTCATGCCCCTTCAGAGGAGATTGGCTTATTCTATTCCGTGCATATCGCCACCGTGTCGATAAGGTAGTATACACAGCCAGGTCTTGTTCTTAATAGGCGATGAATCGTGACTCCACCCACCCTAACCAAATTGCTTTTGTCCTTGCGGAGACAACAAGACACGAAAAGAAAGAATACATGGTGAGTGATGACTCAAGGACGAGGAGAAAACTCTGAAAAATAAACTTGCTAATTTTCTCCCTAACTAAAATAACTACTGTCACATCCTGTCATACCTTCGTCCCGCTTTGGCTGTGTGTCTCTAGCTGTCTGCCGTACATCCTTCGGGGTAAATTAGTTCCGGCATTTAGTACGTGTTTTTGTTGGTGCATATGTTGCAGATAAAAATACTTGGACTGCCGCCGTCTCCTATTTATTTACCTGCTCCCAGGTACACACAAGTAGTAAGTAAGTAGTTCTAACAAGCAGTTTTCTACCTTCGCCACCACAGGAGGAAGGCTTGAGGCTCATATCATGCTAAGTAAACACCGTTCCCACTGTATTTGTTTCTGTCACCCGAACCCGTTTCTCCCGATACATCAATAGGTTACGTTTTTTACGTGTCTGCATGTTCGTATCACTTACCTCTTGTAACTTATGAGCAGTCTTTCATGCTAAGTGCTCTCATTTTTTACTTCACCTTCTCCACTCACTCACTTTCCTTCTTCTTCTTCTCCCCTTATTATACTTTAGTTTAGTTAGTTTGGCTTCCTAGCTTCACGGGAAGACGAAACTCGTTGAAAGAAAGAAAGGAAGAAGAAACCTTGTTAGGTTCTTATTTACCCTCTCGCGTGAGAGCTAACCTCTCACTGTGTACAAGTTTCCTCCACTTTCGTGACCATAATGCATACATATTGAGGAACAAACGCTGGCCCGTGTGATCCATCCAGGATATGAATGAACCCTTGTTTGTTTAATGCTTCAACTAATTTCGTATTTGTTGCAGAAGGAGGAAGCCGAAGAAGAAAAGAATTAATTGGGACCGAGAAACGGCACTCATCATTCCCGTCATCGCATACCACGAGTCGTACGGACGTAAATACGTGCACACAATAGGACCACAACCACAATAAGAGTTCCTCGAAAGTCAATCCGATCAATCATGAGTTAAGAGAAATTCCGAGACGGGAAGGAACAGTGTTTGTGGGTTATTAGTCCTTAGAGAAGAAATACATTTATACACACATCTCTGTGACGGTGAGAAATTTTCTCTTTCTCTTTTTTTGGCAAATTCTCCCATTTTCTTAAGTACCCGCACACGCTGGAGAGAGAGAGAGAGAGAGGAAAAGGTTACAAAAATTAGGAGAAAGCAGCAGACTATTCGGTTAGTCGGTGGGTCTGGTGGGTTATGGTTTTGAGTAATGGAAAAAAAATAGGAACAGCCAACCGGCGGATTTATGATGTTTGCAGGAATCTCGAGTTTTGCAATAATACATCTCCGAATAGTCACTCGTTTTAAACGGGGAGGAAAAGAGTGGAGGAAAAATATACCAATTTATTTCTCTGATTAAATCAAATAAGTAAAAACTCGTGGAGCTATTTTCTAGAGAAACTGGTCGATTCGATGCCAAGAGCAGATCTGCTTTGTTCTTAACGGAGGAAGAGGTCGACTGCACCACAACTACGACACACACGGTCGCCTGGCCTTCAATTGGTCAAGGAATGATATAACGTAACAAGAGTATATTGTGTACCGTGGCCTTTAACCACTTTGTGGAGAGGATGTCGAACGGGGGATTTTTTTGTAGGGGCGGAAATGTGGCGAAATATGTGGAGACACTCGATCGCCCTTGGCATTTTTACTGCTACGCACCAGCGAAATGCCTCGCTCTCAGGGAAATGAAATAAAGAAAGGTGAATATTTCTGTCTCGGGACAAGGAACAAGGAACGAGTCGGAGTGAAAGTCAGTCGGTGGTTATTTTTATATGTAAACCAAACTCTCCATCTTGATTAGTCCCTCCACTGCCAGGCCAAAGTAGCAGTGGTAGGAGTAGATTAAGCAAAACGAACAAAACGGAGCCCGATTTTTCCTTAAAAGTGAAGCCTCGCACGCAAAGTTTAACTTCCCAGACTTACTCCTTTCTCCGATCCGATAATAATGGCCATGCCAAAAATTGCATTCTCAGCAGCCCACAAAACCAAAGACCAAAATTGGCTGATCCCATTGTACGACTAAAGTATCGTGAGTGTGTGTGTGTGATTGTGTGTGTGTATGTAATGGGACATGATAAAAGGTTATACGTAACATGGACATTGGAGCGCAAAGGTCTCTCTCTCTCTGCTTTCCACCCACCATTCTCGTCGTCTCCCAACCAACCACTGGTGCTAATTGATTCGTTTTGTTTACCTTTCATATGCAACCAATTACTGCGGCGTGTGGTGAATTGGATTGGATGATGCCTTTCACTCCTCTCGCTGGATGGATAATGAAAATGATGATGATGATGATGATGGCCAACTTAATTCAACATTATTACCCGATCCCACATCATTGTACTCGCACAATGCGACTCATAACTCAATACACTCGACGACCCATTGTTCCAACCTTGCTTGTGGTTTGACTAGCTGGTCCTGTATTTACTTAACTCATAGAAAAGAAGTACTTGTGGTTACTTGTTGGGCAGTTGGGTCGGTTTTTGATGATATTGATCTGTTCACGAGTAAATAAGACCTCATGACCATGCCCACCCTCCTTCCGCCATCATTTATCATTACGTATGGCGCTGGGATAATTAAGCAGTAGTGGGACGACGAACACTGGGTTAAAAAACAATATGAAACAGTCGTCAAGTGCAGCAACATGCTCGAATTCACTGCTTCCGACCTCAACAATTAGACACCACCAACCAACCAACAACTTGTTATTTCACCTTCGTGAATTTGTCGCCGAGTGTGAACACAAACGCAATACTATGTGAATGAACCAGACAATCAGACAATGGGGGAAATAGTAGTGCAAATACTTTCACCTCGTCGTGAACCTTTTCGTGTCATCGTCGTCATATAGAAGGGTACTAGGTCAATTTGCATAATGAATTTTTACATGACGGCTACATAGCCGAGATTTTATTGCCTAAATACATTTTTACGTAAGGAGACTTATCGCATAATTGCATATTGCATAATTATTTTTTAAGTAAGATGGAGGGTACTCCTAATTTTCAAGTTTCTGGGCATTACTGTGCACTCAAAAGCTAATTTATTTATGGCATTTATGGTGCATTTTTCCATTAATTTTTGTCGACTTCCCTGTCGGGGTCAGGTGGTTGGAGGGAATGTGGTAGTCAGATGAACCTCTCGAGTTATTTTTTTTACAAAAATGACCATCTAAAAAACCCTTTTGGTTCGTATGCACTTTTAATAAATGATGGTTATGGCTCAGTAGGAAAGACATTTGCGAGTCGACCTCAGTCTAATCGAAAGTGGTCACTAACAGCATTGGATAGATTAGCATAGGGATTTAGATGCAATTGTGCAATATGTGATTATGCTAAGTTGTGTTAACCATTATGTAAATTAGTAATTATGCAATTCAGTACTTATGCAAGCAACATTATGCAGAGTGACCAAACACCCATAGAAGTGTTGTCTAGAAGTTTGTAGTCTCATCCATATTCATTTCTCGAGTGAGTAGTAGTATTTAATAGGAGGACTCATCCCTAATCGTCATCATACGTGTCCTGTCAACTCGTACAACCGAATCCTCGCCATCGCCTCCCCAGGATGTAGACAATGCTCCTCATCTCCGCGGTGAAAGCGAGTGAAGAGAAGTGAAAGTTTTGTTGTTTCCTCCTAGCTAGGTGGGTCAGGTCTTGTGCGTCTCCCTAGGTTTTTCAGGTGTCCTCCAACTCCCGTCGGCATCATCGTCGTCGTCGTCATCATGAAGACGACCAAGGCCAGATCCGTGTGGCCCTTGCTGCTCTGGGCGGAACTCCTCGTTTTAGGTAAGCCCATTGTTTTCTCTTTTCTCCCCGCGGAAAGAAAAGCCATCAAATCCGATTCCACATTCAGATTTCCTTCTCCTCCTTCTCCTGAGGAGTTTGTGGTAATAATAGTAGTTGTGCTGCTGCATAGTCGCAGTGTTGGAGGAATTCTGAAATGATGGTGTTATTGGAGTTGATGGTTATGTGCATGGCTTGGCTGCAGCCACATTTGTCCTCGTCACTTTTATCCCATACTTTATCATTTTTGAACATGAAACATGGAAAACATATCCGCTCCACAGACAGCGCACTTTCCTGTGGGCATTTCTTCTACTCTCGCACACCAAATTACTTCAATGTCACACATCCAGACAACAAATGTTTCCTTGCTAACACTGTTTCATATTACGAAAAAGAGAGTGGGATGATGGTGATTGTTTGTATGGTGAAAAAAATGACGGTCTGATTTTCTCGCTCTCTCACTTTCTCCATCTACTTACAACTAACTATCAGCATATAACTTGTGCCACTGCGTTACGCATAGTTTCATTGACACTGTTTTTGGACGAGAAAGTAAGGCAAGTAGACGAACATAAAGTAAAAGACGTACGGTTGTACGGAAGCCAAAATCATTACGGTCGTCTCCACTGCCTCGTGTGGCGAGGAGGCCGTAATTGAGTTGCGTTTTAGTTGTCTGTCTGTGTCAATTGATGTGGATGAGGTGCTCGTATATTCACACGCACTTTGTATCGTATTGCATTTGCAAAATCTAGTTTGAAAAAGATTTGGTAAAAGGTCCTGTCATTCGAAATGGGAAACAATTTGCGAATAAAACCCCGTTCCCGGACAAGATTTGCATAATATGTCATCATTCCGGAGAAAAGTGGTGGTTTTGCTGGCCAGGTTGTATACATGCTACACATATTCGATCCATATTCTTGGCTGGATAGTCTCCTCTTTCTTCTCGCTGGTTATTACCCACTCACACCATTCCAGCGGCGGTCATAAAGATAGCTCTATCTCTCACTTCACAGCCCCTGAGGAGAGGAATACGTAATCCTGAGTGCTACAGTGAAAGTCACTTTTGAATATGTAGGCAGCCAGCTACCTTATTATTATTAAGCTGGACGTGGACAGCACGGGAGGACGAGAAATGAAAGCAAAATGACCACCACCACGAAATCCAGACAGAGAGAGAGAGAGAGAAAGAACGAGACCAAGAATTGGCCTCCAGCTCGACAATGTTAATTTCCAAAGTTAAGTTTGTTTGAGGAAATGTCAGTCAAAGTCGTGCTGCACAAAGCCACCACGAGAAGTTTGTGCATGCATACTTGTGTACGCGCATTTATGTATCTACAGGGCCAAAAATTGTGCGGAATTCTTTTTCGCCTCGGTCTTTTCGGTTAGGGAAAAGATACCGACAATAAAAAAAAACTGTGGTAAAAATTCAATTTCTTTCCGATTTTGGAGACAATTTATTTCTCTTTTAAGCTCAGTGTTGTGACATAACGAGGTCAGGATAATAATGGTTGTAAGAACAAGGAGGGAAGGAAAGAGCGTCTCTTTATCTTCTACGAGGGGATAAAACTGGATAGATGAGCAGGACGTACGTAAGTACGTACTACGTACATGCGGATGGGTTTTTCTTCTCCATCTTCTCAGCGGAGTATGTGTAACATGCAGTCTCAGAGTGAGTGTAACAGACTATCATTGCCGAGCAGTTGACCTCATTTGTTGTTGGAAAACAGGTAAATCAAAATCAAATTAGTCGATTTGGCATATGGGTGAAATATTAAAGGATAAAGCGAATGAGATCGTGGTGATGCATCATTCCAACTTCATTGTTTATCCCATTTTATTTATTATGATCAGAATCTGGTTATCTCTTTTTTATGACTTTCTCAATTCGACTAAAAGAGGAGCCTTTAACCTTATAAAATGTTGTGAACACTTATCGCACATGGTTATCTTGCATATTTTGGACTTTTTGTTAAATTAAAGAATATTAAACTTTAAGACACAATTTGACAATCGATTTTAAGAAAAATAATACTTTTGAAAATATGACATTTCAGAGTTTTTAATAAATTCTAAATGCGATCCAATAACCAGAAGCATAAACAGATTGACAGAGATGGAAGGGTGGCCCAAAAAGCGATGTGATCATCCATACCTCACTTTCCCCAATTGTCGGAGCAAAAACTACTTTGCTAATTCTCTCTGTGCACATAATAATAATTGCTGCACTCCAAAGCACCAACAACAAACTGTGCAGGGACAACTTTGACCTGTTCGCGTAAATCTATATCCGCACTCGTCGGGTTAATCTTATCCCCATACATAAGTCGACGGCGAGAATTCAATTCCTTGAGTGAGTCGCACATACAAAGGGACGGGCACAAAGGTAAAAGTTGGCTAGAAGTTGGTTTTCTTTGTGTGTAGAGAGGGCGAATCTCGTGGAGGAGGAGGAGGAGGTGCACAATGGCTTCAAATCATTCCAATCTCTCCTGGACGTGATAAGTGTGGAGAGGAAGGAGGAATGGGCTAATAAAGCCAACCAGGTAACCGCATGTCCTCCAGGAAGGAGGTGGTAGTGGTAGTAGCCAAGGTCCTAATTTGTGTCCGAGATCGAGAGCTGCTTCTAGTCCTCTTATCTCCACGTCCCGTCCTCCTCACACTTGAAGACTCGCTGTCCTCGCTCTTTTCGGATTTTTCAAATCTCCACAAGAGATAACTTTTGTCCTCGGGCAGACAGTCAACAAGACCAAGACCATGTCGTCCTCCTCTCTCTGCCTTTCATATCCATAGACCAGTCAGTAGCCCAATGGTTGACTCTTCGCGTAGCTTCATTCTCCTCATCTCACTCTCGGAAATGGTAAATGACGAAATCTGGCCAGCTTGTCCTTACAGTTTCTCCAGATAGCTAGCTAGCGCTTCCTCTTTTTTGAAGCCACTTCCCTCAGGAGCCGAGTGAGAGGGAACAAATTATCCCGTATTCTTGTTATTAGTTTAAGCAGTTTAATGCGATGAGGAGCTCTTGTTGCACAGAAGATAAGTTGTGCAACTCATCTCCCTCGTTGGATGCTCCACGAAGAGAGTGAGGCAGAGAGCATCCAAAGTTTACCGAGGTGGAAAGTTGGAGGAGCAAATCTCAATGAGCTGCTCATGTCCGAAATAGTTATGTCACACAGTGGAGAATCATTGCTACTAACGGGATTGCAGCCTACATACGTAGCCTTCTTCCTGTCTGTCTCTCTCTTCCGTCCTCTATCCGTCTCAAAGTCTCTCTGTTCCGGATTGAGCTTCAGCAGCAAGTCTGTCGAGAACCGCCACATGTTGTTAACCTAATGCGAGGCTCTTCTTCTCTCCTTGTGTGTGCGGAGTGGGTGGCTTAAATAATGCAAAGCCTGCTCACTTGCCAGTTTCAGTTGTCCTCATTGTTTCTTTGCAAAAGGAGGAGGAGGAGGAGGGAAAGTGTGTTGATTTTACTCCATGAATGGTGGTGGTTCAAGAAATCCAGGCAAACACAAGAGACCCCGAGTAAGAAAGAGTCACGAGAACAAATGGATGCAACGACTGGAAAAACGGGTTTTCGGGGTGCCTGAAGCAAATGAGAAATTTTCTTGAGCACACTACTTTTTTTTCTTCTTCTACTCCAAATCCTCCCAATATTCGCAACTCGGTCGGAAACGAAAATAAATTGTCCCCTCATTTATTGACATTCGCTCGCTCGTCGCTCGTTCACATCCATCCACCACTACCCGCAGCAGACACCCAATAAAATCACTTCGCCCGAAATTCATCACTTTGTCGCAGCAAATTGTGTGAGAAAGAAGGAAACTTCTCCTGATTTTGGAGACCCTCATCCCATCCCAGGTTCGATCGTCGTCTCAGCTTTCTCTCCCATCTCTGCCTCTCCGTGAATGATGATGATGATGACGACGGGGATCAAGGTGGCTTCAGATGCAGTACATCGATATACGTACGTGGGGAATGGAGTCCATGCGGAGTGCATGGGTTGGCTTGACCCTTTCGAGTCATATTGTGACATTGGCAAGTTTGTGGTTTTGGCTGCTGAGTGAGTGAGTTAGTGTGGATAATTTCATGCGCCGTGTGCGGAATTAGGCCTCATCCGGCCAACTAACACTCACTTTCGCAGAGAGAGGGGAAAGTAGTACAAAAGTGAGTCTCTCTCTATGCACAGCAGCTTTTCAATAAGTCCATCAGCCGACTTTCTCTCTCTTCCTGTCCAGAGGGAGAATTCAGTCGGTTTGTGCCTGCCATCCTGATGGACAAGGTCCGTACTCCGTGACGTGACGCCTGTGCACCCTGCACGGTCCCATGTGTGGTATGCGTGAGTAGAGCCTGTCTCCAGCAGACAACTCCCCACTAAACACCTTCTCCACGGCCAACCACTCTCTTTAATTTATCATTCGTGGACAAGTTGACAGCCATCCATCCTACCACGACTACTTCCACGACTACTACTACTACTGCTCCTCGTACTTCGAAAACCACCACACGGCACGACGATGACGACGACCCCGATGATGATGATATCGGTCCGACCAGACCACAAACCAGAACAGCTACTCAACCACTCTTACCTCTTTCACTATTCAAGTCAAGAATGAAAAACATGCTCGTTCCTCCAAGGCGGATGAATGCGTTGCGTATCACATGGTACTTACGACTAGCACATGCTACTTAAAGCCCGTGTACGACAAAGTAGTTGCCTCTATTTAAGTATACGAGGAATGAGAATGCGTATGTTTGTATGGAGAATCGTCCCCTCCTAACTCTTCGGACTTTTTAATTATGTAAACCAGGAGAGAATAGACTGCTCAATATCTGTAAAAATGGCTCATTCATTCGCGAAGAATAATTCGAGAGGAAATACAAAGTCGTCCTCGCTAAAAAGATGGCAGTCTTTTGGTACTTGCAGGCCTGGATGGATGGATGGTAGCAAGGACAGCTTTTTTATGTGGTATGAGTAATGGATATGGCCTACATGTCACCTC